ACGAATAAAACTATCGTTGTCATCTTGTAACACAACATTTTGAGGGAGGGTTTGTGATTTTCTTTAAAATCACTGTTAATTTTATGTGATACAGGTCTGATATATTTACCCTTGCCAACTTGGAACCTTATAACCAGGGCCTTTGGTAGCTCATTGGGTTTTTAAACTTTCTATGAATGTTAAATTCTCCTATTACATAAGCTAATCCACTCAAAAGTAAAAATAATCCTGGAAAGAGTATCTCAGTTTGCAATCCATCAGCAAAAGCTAGATCACCTTCTTTAAGAAGCCCAGGTATAAAATATGTTATGCCTCAGACCAGAAGTGATATTTAGACGAAGAAAGAAACTATTGAAATGAAACTCATTTCTAAACTAGAGCTCCCAGTTCCCTTTACAATCTATGCAAAATGTACAGTTATAGTGTAACTCATGCTATCATGTACTGTATCAATGTTGTTTCAGGGAATGTGAACAACTATATAATTGCTGGTTATTGAGGGTAGAATTACAAAATGTGGCGCCATTCAAATTTTCTTTGCTAGTTTAATAGCTCCCATCTCAGTATAGTTTCGATCTTCAGGTACCACTATTTTCAACAAATTGCTAGTTTCCATGGTCACTTAAATTGGTGAGTTTTTAACATTTATTTAAAGAAGAAAGCATTTTTATTAATGTAGCACATAGACAGTTCACACTGTGTTCCTAGAGAAATAAGTGACAAATGATTTTATTTATCAAATTATAAGACTTAATCGTAAGGCTTTTGTGAAAAATGCATGTACATGTACGTACATGTACTCAAAACAATTCTATATTTGAAATCTCAAATATTCTCAAACCCATCAAAAGATCCTTTTCAGACTTTGTAGCATACAAATACAAAACATTAGCAAGAGATCCAAAATGTTTTTAAATAGAGCAGACAATAACTTCATAAAAATCGCCATTGTCAAGTTGACAAGTCGTCTTGTATTTAAATCATCTACCTCTGAAGATTGGATAGTTTATGCTAAAACTATGCTTTACTTCTATGTCTTTAATATATAAATTTGAATATGAAACAGCCTCACAGTAGCAAAATGAGCACACAGCAATCTGTTTGAACCAGCTCATAACTAGCTACTGTAACACTACATATAAGAAGTAAAATACAGTAAATCTGAACTTTAATCAGACTGAACAACAAGAGGGCCATGATGGCCCTGAGGTCGCTCACCTGTATATAGCCCCCCCCCATCCCCGGGCCAATTTTTACCCAAGGGCTTTTATTTGTTTATTTGAACAGACTTGGTAGACACCCATAAGAAGATGTTTCATGCTAAACATCTAAGTTCTAGCTCATTGGGTTTTTTAAAAGAAGATTTTAAAAGTTTTTACTATACACATATAGTTAAAAACAATGTCACCCCTGGGGCAGGGCTAGTTTTGACCCCCAGGCTTTTATTTGAACAAACTTTGTAGATATTTACTTAAAGATGTTTCATGCTTAATATCTAAACTCTAGCTATTTGGGTTTTTTCAAAGAAGATTTTTAAGTTTTTGCTATACACATATAAGGAAAATCAATGACCCCCGGGCGGGGCCAGTTTTGACCCCAGGGCTTTTATTTGAACATACTTGGTAGACACCCATTAGAACATGTTTCATGCTAAATATCTTAGCTCTATCTCTTTGAGTTCTTTAAAAGAAGATTTTTAAAGTTTTTACTATATACATATAGGGAAAATCAATTTTGACCCCAGGGCTTTTATTTGAACAAACTTGGTAGACACTCATTAAAAGACGTTTCACGCTAAATATCTTAGCTCTAGCTCTTTGGGTTCTTTAATAGAAAATTTTTAAGTTTTTACTATATGCATATAGGGAAAATCTATGACCCCCTGGGGCGGGGCCAATTTTGACCCCAGGGCTTTTATTTGACCAAACTTGGTAGACATTCACTAGAAGATGTTTCATGCCAAATATCTAAGCTCTAGCTCTTATGGTTCTTTAAAAGAAGATTTTTTAAGTTTTTACTATATGCATATAGGGAAAATCAATGACCCCCCGGGGCGGGGCCAATTTTGACCCGAGGGCTTTAATTTGAACAAATGTGGTAGACATTCACTAGAAGATGTTTCATGCTTAATATCTTAGCTCTAGCTCTTTGGGTTCTTTAAAATAAGATTTTTTAAGCTTTTACTATATGCATATAGGGAAAATCAATGACCCCCCGGGGCGGGGCCAATTTTGACCCCAGGGCTTTTATTTGAACAAACTTGGTAGACATGAACTAGAAGATGTTTCATGCCAAATATCTAAGCTCTAGCTCTTACGGTTCTTTAAAAGAAGATTTTTTAAGGTTTTACTATATGCATATAGGGAAAATCAATGACCCCCCGGAGCCGGGCCAATTTTGACCCCAGGGCTTTTATTTGAACAAACTTGGTAGACACTCACTAGAAGATGTTTCATGCCAAATATCTAAGCTCTAGCTCTTAGGGTTGTTTAAAAGAAGATATTTAAAGATTTTTCTTTCGGTTGCCATGGCAACCAGAGTTCTGCATGGAATTAAATTCTTTGAACAATTTTTAAAGGTGACCACCAAAGGAACATTCCTGTGAAGTTTGGATGAAATTGGCTCAGTGGTTAATGAGGAGATGTCATTTAAAGCAAAAGTTAACGGACGGAAGACGGACGGACGCCGGACGAAAAGCGATCACAAAAGCTCACCCTGTCACTTTGTGACAGGTGAGCTAAAAAGAGAGTAAAATTCAGGATTTTTTGCATATAAATTTCTTCGACCTTGCAATTCACATTTAAGAAGTTAGTAAATATGCGCTGAAGGTCCAGCTGAAAACAATTAAAAACAACACAAATTTTATCATAGTCATAAAGTTTATTTCAATTAAAGATCTATTCACTTTTTAAAAAAACAACAGAAATGAGATGTGAGTAATACAAATACATTGCCTAATGGAGATAAAAATGAAACAAAATGAATGGTATCTGATAAGATCATATATAAACTGGTGTGAATAAATTTTGTTTACAATACAGCTTCTTTCTCACTTAAAATAAAGGGAGCACAAAATAAAGTACAAGTTCTATAGCCATCATTAAATACCCTATAAAAATCTAACAATACTTGTGAAAGCAAATTAACCTGTACCGCATGTCTATTAAACTCAGCTTTCAAGACTATGACACCTTTTTTGAAGGTCTTTCAAACGTCCTTTCAAAGAATCTCTACTCTTTTAATGTATCTTATATAAACATAAACATTTAAAATTCAAAATCTATAGCTGATTGCATAAACAAGTATTGTACATAAATGATATATCTATCTCAATGTGTATCCAGAATTTCAAACCATAATTAAGAATATTATCAGTAATGACACAAACTTTCTTATAAAACTATTCAATAACTCCAGTCTGATATACCTCATACTTCATGTTACTAGTATAAATTAAACTACAACTAAAAACTAACAAACATATGTGCTCTTTCCTCAAATATTTACAGTCTAACATAGAAGCCTATACCTTAACTTTAACTTTATTTTTGTGCAGTTTAAATTTGTGTTTATTACAAACATAATAAAAAATTATAGCATAATGGACCCAATACTTGTGTAAGATCACTGAAGAAACTGTTATTTTATTATTTCATTCAATCTGCTTGAACAAACATTTGCTCAAACTTAAAGAAAACAGTCGTGGAATGAAACAAACTGCGAAGAAATATATCAAACAAGTTAAATTTCCACCCTTCAAAATCTTTTATTCAGGAGGCAAATGTTCCACCCTTCAATTTGTTTCCGGAGGCAAATGTTCCACCCTTCAATTTTTTTAAGGAGGCAAATGTTCCACCCTTCAATTTTTTTAAGGAGGCAAATGTTCCACCCTTTAATTTGTTTCTGGAGGCAAAAGTCCACCCAGACATACTCAGCATGAGGCAAATGTCCACCACAGCAAAATATAGGGTAAAATGTTTAGAGGGCAAATGTCCAAGGGGATAAATGTCCTTGAATCTTTTTTTAACATACCTACTTATCAAAACAAGCCTCAATCATACAGTCGTATAACCAACTGCCAAAAGAATTTTTTTTAAATAATAAGAATATCAATATTGCCAAAGATTTCTTATCACCTAAGGAACACAATGAAGGATAATAGTTGATTTACTATTATACATAAAGCTGGCCGAGTGTTAAAAAAAACCAATTACAAATAACAAAAATTTTGCTATAATCTATTATTTTTTTCCATAATGCAACATCATACAACATAGCCTTGATCCTCGGCTTCTGATTGGTTATCTCTGAATATAGAAATGATACTGACCAATGAAAATATACGAGTGTAAGCTATTAATGAAAAATTTACAATGAATATGATTCGACGCAAGTCAGATGTCACGATAGACTATTTTATTCTAAAAATGTTAATGTCACATACTGAAAAATGTCAGACACTGGAAGTTTGTCACAAACTGATGAAAAAAATAAAGGTTTTTTTTTACGAATATATACATATGTTTCAGCTGAGTGATTAATGTCAGATGTAATAAATCACATCTGAATATAAACTTTTCTGAATGAACATCTTACTGCTTCTCATTACTTCAGGGGGTGTTAAGGGGACTCCACTGAGGTTTTTTGACATGATGGGACTGAAAATATTTTTTTCAAATAAATGTACCATTTGATGTAGGTTAAGACCACTTATCTTTGTGCAAAGTTTCAGATCATTCGCCCACTTCGTTTTACCAGAATAATTATTCAAATTGTAAAAATATGACCCAATATGAAAAGTGTTTTCACCCAATTCGGGCAAAGAAAAGCATAAAAATATGATTTTTAATTTATTTCAAAATATATTTCCTAACTATTGTTGCATATTTTTCTGTTTAAAGTGCCCCAGCTCATTTATGTAATAAAATTCAAATATTATGTTTTTAGGTTTTTAAACCTCAGTGGAGTCCCTTTAAAGTGTATGATACTACATATCTACTGCAAAAATTATTGTTCAAATTTTAAAAGAAAATACTTCCTAAATGCTTGTATGACAGAAATAAATATGGTACTAAACTGCCTTAAAATTGAAAGGCTTATACACAAAATCATTGCTAAACAGACAAAACTCTTCTTGAAATAGCCAAAAAATATTTTGTTCTGGAAAATTTTATTCTGTTTTTATACAATATTCATAATTATGTGTCTAATAATGGAGACATTCTATTCTACAACTTTCAAATGGGCCATAAGATTATAGAAACAATAAAGTTTTAATGTTTAAAAATATTTCAGATACAGCTTTATATCCTTTAACATAAACTGTGTTGGAAAAACAAATATCAGTCTTAAGTAACAACACATAATCTTCATCTGTAAGTATGAACATAATTGTTTTTTCTAATAGTAAAATAACATGTAAATAAATATCTATATACCCTCAATTTAAAGGGTCATATTGGAATGAACTGTGCGATCTAGCAATTATAAATATTCGATAAGTAAATGCATTCTTAACTTTTGTTTTCTTTCATTATTTTGCAATTTAAAGCCCATTTTAAATGACTATATTGATTTTTACTAGCTCATAGCACACATTGTTCAAGTTTGTTGCTGACAACGGGCTGAATAGTCAATACATATTTTTTTTACAGTAATAAAAAATGTAAGTTATCAATAAAAAAATCTTGCAACTGTCACTGCATATTTAATTTATCAATAAAATAAACAATATCAAATTCATACTTGACAAATTTTTAAAAAAAATATTGCTGCCTGCACAAACTATTACGATAATTTCACAGTAATTTTTTACCATGTAAAGTTTAAAAAGCAATACAAACTATATAATTGAACTGAAATACAGTATGAAACAAACTGCATTGTATATCTTTAGTGATAGCCTTTCTTGCTATATTATACTGTAGAAGAAACTGTTAAAAATGTGACAGCATTTAGAAACAAGGTACATGTATACCAAATCTGCTGCCTTATATTCATACGTTTGCAGATTTTTGCACTATGACAAAAGACGTGTCGTAAATTCTCATATTTTTTGTCAGTAGTCTTATCAAAATGAATAAAAAATAATAATGTTGCACTACTTTTTCTATATCTATCGTCTCCTTCCGCCACTCCTACTTCGAGGATCAGGACTACTTTCTCTGCGGCGTCTTTCTGGAGATGGCCTGCGGCCTCTACCTCTATCACCAACACCTTCCTGTAAAACAAAAATTCATCGCAGCTTTTGATTTTATTTCTTATTAATACGTTTAATCTAATTTTAAGTTAAACATATTTTGTAAATAGTGTTTGTTTGATTTGTGTTTTACGTCACATCGACACAGTATAGGTCATATTGCGACGTTCCAGCTTTACTGGTGGAGGAAGACCTCAGGTGCCCTTCCGTGCATTATTTCAGGCACGGGCGAGCACCTGAGTAGAACCACCGACGTTCCGTAAGCTAGCTGGATAGCTTCCTCACTTGAAAGAATCCAAAGTCCCTATCGGGATTCGAACCCACAGCGGTAAGGGGCAAGTGGTTTGAAGTCAACGACCTTAACCACTCGGCCACAGATGCCCCATTGTAAATAATGAATGAGATCACAAATACATTAAACAAGCAAAATATCAAATTAATGTGAGCAAAGTGTCATTATTAGCACTGTAAGCCTGCTATACAACACTTCCTATAAATATGTAACCTAAAGAACATTGGCAGAGTTTTAACCGATTCTAATTAGTAAATAGCACAGAAATATAAGCAAAGATTTCTGTTACACTATTTTATGTAAAGACTTGTGTACACTATTTTAGGCAAAGACTTGACTTGGAGACGTATGCTTACCTGAGATAATTTTCTATTAGCAAGTGGACTATTTGTCTGTCGTCTCCTGGCAACAGGCCTCTCACCTTCTGGTACTTCCCTCATTGGACTGACCCGATCTCCCTCCTGCTTTTGTCTCAATAATGGCCTTGTCTTCCAAAACTTCTCACGCTCAGCAATCTGAAAATGTCACAATAGTTAAATTATAAAAACATAAGAAAGTTCTATGATGATGTGAATATTAACTCTTTAAACTATAAAATATTTGAATAGACAACTGTTTAGACTATAAATATTCTTATAAATAACTCTTAAAACTAAAATATTTGAATAGACTCTTTAAAACTATAAATATTTCAATAGATAACTATTTAAACTATAAATATTCCAACAGATAACTCTTTAAACTATTAATATTCGAAAAGATAACTTTTAAGACTATATATATATTCATTATATTATGTAACACTATTCAAAGTTAATGGCATTAACCCTTATTTTACCTGATTACCTTTATGCATTACAAATTCTAAAATGTTAAACTGAAACAGATATAGGGACAATATGACCAGTAATGTGTCAAAGTGTCACTGTTAAACCAAAACAAACAGAATGATACAGATTGATGCTCTAACATTCAGAATGGACACATTATGTATCTTTAAATTGTTGAGATGATAATTCAAATTCAAAATAGACGCTTATTTTATTGTCAATCATATACAATATATCATTAAAATATTGATATGGTTATTTAACAATACCTGAGCTTCTGTTAAAGGAAGCCAGTATATACTGGGAGTGATCTTTGTCTTCTTGAATAAGTCATCAAGTAACTTAGCAGGGGGCTCATCTTCCTTCTTCTCCAGACCTGTCAGATTACAAATATTGTGGAAATTATTCATTTAATGAAATATTCACAAGGCAAGACTTAAATCTAAGAAGTATAGCCACATTAAAATTCTCTATCTGTAATAAGGTCAAGAAAATTTTACAACATTAATCTTTGTGATTTAATACTTTCAAAACAATATATGAAAGGTATAATGACAACACTGGCTGTATAAACATAAGACATTGATAGAAAAATAACTGAAATTTAGAAAAATATTACTAACTATATGACTTTATAAATGTTTCTACATGTATATTAATAACCCTTACTCAGCTTTAACCAAATGTGGTAATCCATAAGTTTAAACTTATCTTATTTCTCAAAAATAAATGTACATATATATGTGTTACAATATGCAATATACACAAAACATTTCAAATATTCATACAAATAGGATTAGAATGAAAGACAAAGTGCCTTCTGAAATTCTTCTCATTTGCAACCAGTAAACAGCCATCAATACAGTATGTCCAGTGTCCAGGCCCTTTACTGTTGGCTGATCTTCTTATTATTTTCATCTTGATATCCCCAAATTTCAAATTGGACAGTTCCAAAAATTGAAGTTGGAAAAGTCCACACAAGAAATGTCATGGGTCAAGAGTTAGAAGCAATCAGAAATAAATCTTACCTTTCTTTTTATCTTTTCTACCAGCCCTTTCTCTACTCCTCTCCCTGCTTCTATCCCGTCTTTTCTCCCTTACTGGAGAGCCTGACCTTGACCTTTGACCTTTATGATCCCTTGGTGACCTTGACCTAGATTTCTGTAATGTTCTGTCCCAATCCTCCCTTGATTTCTTGTCTTTGTCCCATTCTCTAACAGGCTTAGCCCTGTCATGTCCCTCTTTTTCCAATCTTTCTTTCATTCTCTTTTCTCTTTCTTTCTGTCTTCTTTCTATTTCCTTCTGTCGTTCCTCCTGCATCAATCTCTGTTTCTCCTCTTTCTCCTTCTGTTTTTGTTCCCTGACAGAGGACTTTTCCTTCTTGTCTGGAGCTGGAATAGGTTTCTCATCCCCTCTATAGTAATCCATCTGTGAAGTAAAGTTGTACAGTTAACATTAATAGAAAAATTTGACAAAGGGGAAGTTATTTCTAAAAATATGAAATCACTTTTGCGAAAAAAAGTTTATATAACTGCCAGAGAATACTCACAGTATAAAATATATAAGAAACATGAGAATGAAATGATTATTAACATATAAGGCCATAGTTACCTATCTATTAAATATAACCAATTAACTACTGACATTTTAAAACCCAGTGGTTAATTGTGAGTAATTTTAAGTCATCAACATAAATTTCTTAACAATTTACACTATCTGGATCACATGTTAATCACCAAGTGATATGGTAACATCATTATGTAAGTCATGTAAAAGCAATTTTAGGTTTATTATGTCACTATTCCTCAGTAATTTCTTAGTAATTCTGGACTTTGTCAGGAAATTAATGTGAAATAAGTTGATTCTGAATAAAATCTTTCAGATACAGTAGAACTTTGGTAAGTCGAAGTTGAAGGGACTTGCGTAAAACAGCAACACATCAAGACTTCGATCCATAAAGTTGTCTCAATTTCATGAAAAAATTTAGAGCTGTTGACCTTTACAAGCAAATTACAAAAGGTGTACCAAAATTAAAGGGTGATAACTAAACCAACTTATAGTAAGTGTGATTATCACGTGACACCAGGTCACGGAAGTTCTCAACTGAAAGTAGTTCTTACTGTTTACAAATACAACTACAATTTGAATGATAAGAATTAAAGCTTTTTATCAGACATACTAGTTGATCAGAAATCACCTTGTGGCCAGAAAAGGTGTGAAAAACATCTCCAGCTTGAAGGTGTCAAAATAACCTAAGGACTTCGACTTATTTGTGGTAAATAGAACTTGATTTATTCTATACGGACGGACCACAAAAAATCTTCGACACATCAAAGAGTTGATAGGTTTTAATAAGGAATATATTAAAGAAAACTCAGGACTTTCATTTTACTTTGAAACATCGTGAAAATTGACTAATCGAAGTTCGACTCATAGAAATTCTACTGTATTAACAAAACTATTAACTTACTTGTTCCTCTGAGCCAAAGTCCACAATGAGTGTTTTAGGATTAGAAAGTGGCCATGTTGTATTGTGTAAAGCTTTCCTAGCTTCAATGGCTTCTTCTTCTGTTTCATACTGTAAAAAAATCAAACTCTATGTTTCATTTTATGCTATGTAGACTTTACACATCTAATTTTGTGTAACTCAATATGTCAAAAATTAATTACATGTGTTTTTAAATGCAAAATCTCATCGATTGGTAAAGTTCTTCGTCAAATTACATAAATGTGCAGGGTAAGTCTGGCCTTAAACTGGTTACAAAATATTTTTTCTGCCTTTATCCTAAAGGTTTAATGAAATACTGGACATAAGTAAATAGGATTTAACCTAAATCACTTAAAAAAGAGAATATAACTTATTTTGAATCAAAGGAATATACAACTTCAAAGTAAATTTTCTATACATTTTACTTACACATTTACTTTATTAAAAATGTAAGATTTCTCACTGTGTGAGATTACATTTATTCAAAACAAGAAAACATAATATCTTATATGTATATTTATCACTTAACCAATGCAATGCTTCAAAGCGCTTGACCTGCTTTGAAATTGAAACTGTTCAATAGTAATTTGAGGGATTGAAATTTTTAAGATCAAACTAATAAAGCAGAGCACAACTGTATCAGCCAAACACATATTTTCTGTGTATGTATAATTATCCATTCAAACACTTCTATTATCAAACGGAAAGAAACTATATTTAATGCTTTTCAGTGGATTACTGATTTATCCGTGAAAATTATATTTGATAATTTCACAGTGAAAATTATCAAAATATAATTTCACTTTTTTAAATGACGAAACTACTTTTTTTAAGATTTTCCCCATGTGGTACCTCAATTTTATTTTTACTGACAATTCTGACAATATCAGGATGATTAAAAAAATAGCAAAGCTGAAATAGATAAATAACTTAAATGTCAAAAGTAATAAAGAGAGATAACTTACTTCTATTCCTTCAAATTCCAATCACAAAATTTCGTCTCTAAATTTTTTTGTTTCGTTTTTACAGTGTGAAAAATACATTCCTTCCCCATGCCAAACTGCTCTTGATGACATTTGGGCATATTAAAGTATCCTACGAGCAATAACTGCCGTATGCTTTATGAAAAATTGAAAAGCATTGACAGCCATCACTCGTAAAATAAGTAAAACAACCCAGCGTTTCTTACAATGCCTTAGCAAGCTTCCAAGTTTTCCATTTTATAGCTCCTTTTCTGAATGTTTTCACTTCTGTCAACACTTATTTTTTGTCTGTTACAATCCTCAAATAAGTTTTCTTTCTTTTAAAAAGGTGTATGACTAACAAATCCAAATTATATCCTTCTGAATCTTACACAATTATTTTCCTCCCATGAAAAACACAACTTTAAAAAATTGCTGCCGCTTACATTTTACAAAGCCAGGTCTAATATAAATTCGCAGTAAGTAACAGAAATATGGATGGATGGTTGGACTTTTTCTCCTACAAGAATTGTTTGTTCTTATTATTAAAACAAGGGATAATTCATATTTTTTTAATAAAATGAATAAATATCACCGTCATTTAACCTTGATTGGCGGACTTATTTTTAAGCTCAAGAGTTCTTGTTTTTAATGAGAAATTCCCTCTAAATGGGGCTCTCAATGGGGGAAACAGATTTTAATATTAACGTTAAAATTATGGAAATTTCGTTTTAACTTGTTTAAAAGTATAAAATAAAAAGAAAATTTGTCTGTTTGTTGTGTAAGATGTAATTTTATTTCATCTCGTGAACTTTAAAAACAGTATTCTCACTCGTGGCTACGCCACTCGTGAGAATACTGTTTTTAAAGCCCACTCGATGAAAAAAAATTTCATCTTACACACAAACAAACAAATATCCTCTTTATATTTCATTTACATACATGTTATCATTAAAGCACTTACCACTGCAAAGCAATGGGATTTGATCTTATCAATCCAGAACAGTTCTTCGTTCAAGTTCCCATTACGTTTTAGGAGTTCTTTTAACTGGTTCACGGTGAACGGCCGTACTAAGTTCCTGATATGTATTATCTTACTGGCTGGGTTTCGAGCTGGGGATGGAGATCGCTCTGATCTGATTGGTTCATCAGGTTTAACTAAGGTAGATCCACCAGAGTCGAGGCGTCTGATCAGTTTAATTTCCTCTGGAAACAGAAAACGATCATGATTAGTTTATCTAACATATACAGGACCCTATGTTGTATGACTCATAAACTTAAAGCTAATTTGTCACTGCATATAATCGCTTTTATAGATAAGTCAATAAACTATAAGCATTTCCTTCCAACAAGGTGAATGTGAACTTATTGTCTAAACAAGAGGGCCATGATGGCCCTGAGGTCGCTCACCTGTATATATCCCCCCACACCCGTAAGAAGATGTTTCATGCTAAACATCTAAGCTCTAGCTCATTGGGCTTTTTATTAGAAGATTTTTTAAAGTTTTTACTATAAACATATAGTTAAAAACAATGACACCCCTGGGACGGGGCCAGTTTTGACCCAAGGGCTTTTATTTGAACAAACTTTGTAGACACTTACTAGAAGATGTTTCATGCTTAATATATAAACTCTAGCTATTTGGGTTTTTTCAAAGAAGATTTTAAGCTTTTGCTATACACATTTAAGGAAAATCAATGACCCCGGGGTGGGGCCAATTTTGACCCCAGGGCTTTTATTTGAACAAACTTTGTAGACACTCACTAGAAGATGTTTCATGCTTAATATCTAAACTCTAGCTATTTGGTTTTTTTCAAAGAAGATTTTTTTAAGTTACTGCTATACACATATAAGGAAAATCTATAACCCCCGGGGCGGGGCCAATTTTGACCCCAGGGCTTTTATTTGAACAAACTTGATAGACACCTGTAAGAACATGTTTGATGCTAAATATCTAAGCTCTAAGCTCTTTGAGTTCTTTAAAAGAAGATTTTTAAAAGTTTTTACTATATGCATATAGGGAAAATCAATGTGGGTTTTTTTAAAGTTTTTTCTTTCGGTTGCCATGGCAACCAGAGTTCTGCATGGAATTAAATTCTTTGAACAATTTTAAAGGTGACCACCAAAGGAACATTCCTGTGAAGTTTGGATGAAATTGGCCTTGTGGTTTATGAGGAGATGTCATTTAAAGTTAAAGTTTAAGGACAACGGACGGACGACGGACGAAAAGCGATCACAAAAGCTCACCCTGTCACTTTGTGACAGGTGAGCTAAAAATCCTTGAATCAAACTATACACTCCAGTCTAACCTAGAACTCAACACAAAACTCCTTTTGACCTTCATTTCTAAATATTGACATAATAATGCCAAAACATCAGTTATTTCTCTGACGATATAATATGTTAAATACATAGTTTAAAATAAGAATATTACACCCTTGCCTTTATTAAGAGCAAGTTTCACCAATAGGAAAGCAGAGCTTCTCAAACAGACAATGCTCAAATAACTTAAAACTTACTATTCTTATCCCTTTTCTCCTTTTTCACTTTAGTAACTGTAACAGTTTTTGTCTGTTTGACCTCCTCTTTAACCTTTGACTCCTCCCCTTCTTCAACAGGTCCCTCCTCCATCGATCTCTCCTCCTTAATTTCTACTGTGACATCTGTCTTAACTTCATTACCATCATTGCTATCATCTTCACCACTTTCATCACCGGATGCATCTTTAGGTTTAACTTCCCTTATATCTTTGTCTACTTCACCTTCAGAATCATTCTCATCAGAATCTGCATCTTTTTTCACATCCTTAAATAAGGTACCCCAAGATTAATATATACATATATAAAGGTACATGTATAGCTTGTAATGAAGACGGCAATTAACAACATTTGAAACACTGGATGGAACAGATAAATTTGAACTTCTGTAAGTTTTCTAAAGAGTATAATATACCTTCTAATACTGTATGGGCATGCCAAACAGTGTCTAAAAATCAACCTTAAATTAACTTTTTGGTTACTAATAGGCAAACCAGAGTGCAAGACAGTTTTTCTCTATTCCATAAGTAAGACCAACTGTTTCCTTGAGATACAATGCATGATTTATTAAACAATGGTAGACAGTAACATGTCGTGAAAAAATGCGACATGTGATTAAGTTAAACATTTGAATGAGATTTTAATGATCTAAGATTTCAGAAAACTAATTATCTGTCATCAGAAGTACCCATTATTCATGCATAAATGTACAATTATAAAAATTTATTATGATATGTAAATTAATCTACTTCAAAAGCAAAATTTTGTATCATTGTACAGCTGTAACATTTAAAGGCAAATAAAACCTCAGAAACGAATGAGTTTTTTCATCTTTAGAACAAAGACAAAAATAAGTCGTATAACATATAAAGTGAATTGGTCAATAATGGAAGGTCTGTAACACAATGAATAATAAGGTTGATAGCATTTAGTATTAGACATAACTACATGCCATGAAAGAATTATACACGAAATGTAAACAAAGTATTATTTTGACTTCCATGCAAAAATATCTGTAGCTTTTTTACTCCATGTTTTATGTATCAGTTTCACATCAAATAATTACCTGTGTAACTGTCCTTTGAATTTTCACTGATCTTGTATCTTCCTGCTCCGTAACCACTTGCTCCGTGGTAGTTGTATCATCCTCATAATCCATTTCATCTTCCATAACTGGTTCAGGTGCCAGTTTCAATGAAGGTTTAATATCTGGTATAAGACCCTAGTTAAAGGACAAAAAGACCAAACACTTATAAATAACTAGGAAAACTGACTTATTGACAAAGTGCTGTATATCTATATTCAAAATCCATAGAAATGATATTGAAATATTGATGTTCTCTTAAAACCATTATCAACTTAAAAATAATACAAATAATAAAGCTTTAAGTTAACACAAATTAGACATACCTTTAGACTTTCAGTAGAAATAGGAATACTTGAAGTTTTTTTAGTTTTCTGTGTGGTTGAAGCTGTGCGGGATCCCCACTTCCTCTTCTTAGCCGGCTTCTCCTCCGCTACTTTATCCCCTACATCAACTTTCTCAACATCTTCTGCGGCCTTCCCTGCATCGTCAATGGTTTTCCCTACAGTTTGAAAAAAATAATTTAAAGTTTGGGGGCCTGAATATTGAAATTTAATTAATGATTTCAGAACAAGTTTTGGGATGACATTCTGGAAGATAATACATGTACATACTGAAAAGCCGTCCTGTTAGCTTAATATGTAGAGCGTTGGACTGTGAATCTGGCGACCCGGGTTCGATTCCCAGATGATGCTGGTCACTTTCCTTGTGATTGATCATGAAATCCTTTCTACAGTCATTCACTCTGTCCATATGCTCTAGCATGTACAGAAGTTATCAGTTCCTTGCAAAAAAGAAGGCAACTAGTACTGGTAAACTGCTTGACAGTCTGTCCATGAACGATGCCATGGCTGAGCTGAGCTCTTGTAAGTTCAACCTGGCCTACTGCCGTGATTCGAAGTTAAAACAACCACAACCACCACTATCATATACTAGTATAGAAGTGCTTCACAAAAAGATTTAGTCTTGAAACTTTTAAATTTATGTATTTTACTTGAAATTTGTATATTACTCGCTGTATATGAACAAACAGTTTCATCAACTGTGTACTTTTGTATTAATGATGTATGTAATGTGCCGCTAACATTAGTTTCTTAATTCAATAATCTTATTTTACTTTAAAGAAACAACAATATAATTGTTATAACGACTAGAAATAAAGAACTTCTGTATTTGAACTTAAAAATAACATTTAAAGTAAATTTAAACATGAGCCCCAATAATAAAATCACAAAGTCCCAACAATATGCACCAGGACACTTGATTACAATGCTTACATGATAGTTTAGTTGTTATGAAATTATCTCGAGAATGTAGGAGTTGAACACGGTAGAAAGAAATAAGTCTACAGTTAGAAAACTTGGGCTTTAAAGTAATAACTTGGGTTTTAAAATGCAGAAATGGATACATTTAACAAATGCAAGATGCTTACTGTTGAGTGAAATCTTCTTAGTGACCTTGACCTCAGGTTGTTGGATGTCAGTTGTACTCTGTTCCACACTCACCTAAAATATAGCCATACAACACAATGCTTCAGTACAGTTTAACTAACATGTACTATATGTATATATATCTATGCTTTAATCAAAAAAAATTCTATAAAGGCACTATATGAATCGATGTCGTACATTTTTGATATAGACATAAGTGAATTATTTTTACTAATCAGAGTAACCACTTAACAAAGTTCAGTCTTTAAAACTGTATGTAAACTTTCCAAATTTAAAATCTCTTAAATAAATGTTATCTATGACATATAAAATAGATATATTTTTTGGATAAATGTGTCAATATTTCCCATCTAGAGTCAGCTTGTGGCCTGCCCGGTAACAGGTATAATTGTCCTGTAAAAAAAGAACGTTATGTTAAAGCATTTTAAACAACATGGAATGTTATATCCTATACCAACACTATCATTGCACGCTTTCCCTGTTGTTGTTGCTGTACTTGAGCCCGGCACTCCATGTTGTAGGGGATAAAACTGGACTTAATATCGGGTACCAGTGCATTTTCGACCCAATGAACCCTTCATCCAGCAAATGAGAGCTTCTGTTTGATCCCGAATAATTTCAGTATTATTCAAGCATGCAACCAATTAAATACATGTATTCTAAGTCCATTTTTTATAACTATTTAGGGTGTCCAATATATATGTATTTCCAAGATAGCACAATCGTAAGTGTCCAACATTTTAAAGTAGAAAATCTGAGGGCCAAAACAATGAAATAGTCCTTGTGCAAAGGTATATTTTGTTGTTGTTGTTGTTGAAATTCAAAGCCTTCCAATTATGGAAATGTCACAGTAGAGATTTCAACACATTAAATTGTCTCTCTTTGGAACTCTTTGTTATGAACACCTCATATGAAGACTTTTTATGAGTAATTTTTCCTTTCCATTTCAAACAATGACTTAGTCATATTTTACAAATTGAGCCTTTTTTATGCAAAACACTGTATGTCCAATGCATGACTTCTTTTCTCTAGCAACATACATAATTCCAGTGATAAATTTCACATTTCTTGAACATTACATGTCCTTTAATAAACACTTCATTGATAGTTCTGTGAAACTTCACTTCACTCATTTACAAAAATTTCCATGAAAAAAAAAAGTATAACTTTTTTCTACAAGTCCTATCTATTTCCACACACAACATCCTCCATCTGTTTCCCTGATCTGTTGGGTTCATTGGGGATAAATATATCTCGACAGGTCATAATGCTGGCACTGGATTTTGGCAAAACAGGGGAGACAACTGCGCTCTAACAGGTCCCTGGATCAACCTCGGACTAAACGTCTCTTACACTAGAGCATAATTACAAATAGTGTTTGACAAAGAGAAGGAGTTTGATATTTTAATTGTAAACATGAAATTGAATTGATAATTAAAACAATCCTTTTCATTAAGGTATACGTGTATATTTAAGATAGAATAACAACATTTATAAAGTTAATAAATGAAGCTGATACATTCAAAACATCTATTTTGTTTTGTATTACAGAAAATCAGTAGGAAAACAAAAAACAAATGAAATTGTAAATAGTTTTTAACAAATTCTTTTCTGTATTTTTTTCTGTGATGACTTTCAATTTTAGAAATTTACTTGGGAAAAACATCTACTAAAGTACATTTTTCCCCATAAAATGCAGAACAGTTTTTTAAGATGAAGCACTTAAAATAGTCAAATTAGTAAAATCTTCAATTTTCGGAAATCTTGAAAAACAAAATTCCCCTATTAATTGAATGAGAATAGAGCTGAATAGAAGAAGTTTGCGCACATTTACCAACCTATTTGATCTATTTTTTTAGTGATACAGATTGACACACAAAAAAAGACAATAAAGAGTTCTGGTCACAGCTTCATTTATTTAGAATCAGAAAATTTAAATCAGAAAAAAACAACAGAACTAAAGTCACACAGTTCCGTCCTTTGACAGTACACACTACTTTTCTCAGAACTGGGTAGTACAATAAAGGTAAAGTAGAAATGGGGTCAAATTCTGCAAAATGTCTTGAAAGAAGACTTTACTGGTCATAATTGTGAAGAAGTTTTTCAAGTTTCAATTAAATATAATTTGTTGTGAAAAGGAAAATAACTTTGCAAAAATAAACTTTAGCTTCATTTGACCTTTAAAATTTGTCATGAATATTTAATAAGAACGTGCATTACAAATTTGAAGAAACTAGATTTCATAGTTTTCAAAGAAAATAACACTAAGGTTAACCACTGCTGACAACACAATTGTAACAATGGCTCAACTTTTTTCTTTGAAAACTGGAACTAAGAAAATAGATTATAGGAAAGATTTAAACATTAAGTGATATTCATTCTAAACTTATAACTTTTACTTCTTTACAATACAGACTTGTTAATAGTGAATACATTTTCTAATCAATTAATATATTTTATAAACAATGCATTTCATTTGTATTGTATGTAATACACATTAATCCATAAATTAGGTCTTGATTATTCATAAAGAGAATTTTAGATTGACATACTAATTGGATAAACTCCTTCTCTGTTGATAAAGGTTAATGTTTTAGCAAAATAATAATTGGTAGGCTACACTTACCTTTTCCTCAGAATCCTTGGGTGCCGGTTTCTCTTGCACTGTCTCCATAGGCCTGAGAGAAAGAGAAAACAATTAAGAAACTTGGCCAATAATATAAAGTCTGGTTGGACTTAACAACTAGTACAGCAGGCTGAACTGGCTCTATAATTATTGCTGGCAAAGGCTACTCACTTTTGGTTTCAGCAGTAATGATTAAAGAATAATCGGTACAGGTAATAGTATGTATGTATAATTATTAATAAACATTATACATGTATACACTTGTAAAGGATTAGCTCCAAGGAACCACTTTTTAAATTTCTAAAAATGTTTTTCATAAGAACTTTTACCAACTTAAAATTTGTTTTTTGTTTGTTTTGATTGGGTTTTACATCACAGCAACACAGTATAGGTCATATGGCAACATTCCAGCTTTTACTGGTGGATACCTCAGGGGCATTATTTCAGTCACAAACGGGAATCTGAGTAGAACCACTGATGTTCCATAAGCTAGCTGGATAGCTTCCTCACATGAAAGAATCCAAAATCCCTGTCAGGATTTGAACCAACAGTGGTGAGGGGCGACCACAACCAATTGGCCATGGACACCCAACCACCTTAAAATTCTATTCAGCAATTTATTATGTAAACTAGACATACTCTTGTGCTGGTTCAGACACATCTGGTTTTTTGTCAGAAGTTTTTTCAACTTCAGCTTGCGCAGGACTTGGTGACCTTGACCTTGAAGCAGATGACCTTGATGGTGACATTTTCTTGACCTCTTCAATCTGTTTCTCTGGAACCTTCTGCTTGATATCATCTTTAGGAGAACTTGAAAAACAAATAAAATTTGACATAATATATATTTGACTGTTTCACATGTAATATATACTTATAGACATACATTTTTAGTCTAGTTAAGACAAGTGAAGTCTTCCAATTAAGCTTCAGATCTAGCTTTATTGATTTTAGATTTATACAAGGTAGGAAAATATATAAATCTCAATGTTTGAAAATTCCAAAATCTTTTCAATTAAACCTTGGAAACACTCTTACATACTTCAGGCTTCTGATAAGTGAATATATATTTTTACTGTACATATTTTTCCAGGTTTCCAAACTGATTATCATGTTGTGTGCAAGACTTCCTATCAGTATTCAAAATCACTTGTGACAAATGAATTCACTACCCAACTATTACATTAAGAACTCACATTTCTGGTGACTTCTTCTTGACCCTCTTTGGTGACAGTGACCTTGACCTGCTTCTGGAACTTGACCCTGACCTTCCAGCATTCCCTGTCCTCTTCCTGCATTCATGGAAACAAAGAAGTTGTGTCACTATGGCACAGAAACAAATGCTCATAAAAAGGTGTTTTGTAAGCAAACAGAAGCTTGGTCATTAGAGTAACTTAAGGTAGAACGCTACACTTTGCAAACTTTTGAGTAGCGTCTTGAAAATTGAAATGCCAAAAGATTACCATATTTCTGATTGGATTTTGTTGATTTTATTTTAAAAGTTTCAGCCAATTTTTGTACAAATAACGTCAAAGTTGACCATCAAAGCCTGTTTTTTAACATGACGTTGTTGCGTATCTTTGGCAACTGTTAGGGGTATTTCAACACCATTGGCGGACAAAATATCTTAAATCCTACAGCATTCATCTGAAATTATTTTTTCCTTTTAGCAGATATAAAATTTATTGTTTTACGCTGAAAATTGTTTGAGAAATGGAAAGAAAATTGTCAATTTTGTGTAAAATTTGACGTTCAGTTTAGCCACAATTTTCGGCTTTAAAGCGGCTTATTGAAAAATTCCTGAAATAAATTTTTGATTTTTTTCTTTGAACGTCCTTTAAAATGTATACTTAGTCAAAATAACTAAAAAAATTAGGGGGTCACCGACTCAATTTTTTGGTACACGTGATTTTATTTCCCCCACCCCGTGAGTAATTTTGTAACGAAATTTGACGTATGCAGATACATTTGATGATTTTCTTTTTCTTACCTAATGATGGTTTTCTTTTTCTAACTTAGGATGGTTTTCTTTTTCTTACCTTAAAATGCTTGTTTTTTCTTACCTTAGGATGGTTTTCTTTTTCTAACCTTAGGATGTTTGTTTTTTCTAACCTTAGGATGGTTTTCTTTTTCTAACCTTAGGATGTTTGTTTTTTCTAACCTTAGGATGGTTTTCTTTTTCTAACCTTAGGATGTTTGTTTTTTTCTTACCTTAGGATGGTTTTCTTTTTCTTCTCTGGAGACCTTGATCTACTTCTTGAACTGGAACTTGAACTAGATGATGACCCTCTTTTCCTGAATTAAAACAAGAACAGTTTAACACCATGCTTTACTATTCTAAATGTTTGACAGTAAAACAAGAACTGTATGACAATGTGTTAGACTATTCTAAATGCTTGATAGTAAAACAAGATTCAAGTTCAAAAAGGGCCATAATTCTGTACAAATCAAGGTTAGAGTTAATGGACCTTGCACTGAGATGAACTATAATGCTTTCAAGTAAGTGCATGTAGTTTCTACCCAGTGAGTCCATTCAGTAGTTTTGGAGAAACCAACTTGCATGCTAATACATAAACCACAGTGTGACACCGACACCAGGGTGAGTACAATTGCTCGACCTATTCTTGGAATGTTGGAAAAGTTGATTTAAAAATTACAATTCATGTTATTTTACCACACTTATTCTTTCTGTATTTTTAGTGATACCTTAAAGTATTATTCTTTTCCATAAATAATGTTTGAAAATCATCATAAATCCAAATATTTGAAAACTTTTACAGAAGTTTTTATTATATAAACTCAATCCATATCTAACTTTCAAAGCATTAGGTGATATCAAACTTTAAATTGTTAATGATAACAAAAATATTAGGAGTAAAGCCGCACATTTTTTCACTGTAATTTCTTGATCAATATTTTCAGTGCTATACATACTTGTTTTTATTTGGACTCCGAGATCTGCTTGAACTAGAAGAACTTGACGATGATGATGAAGATGACAGTCTACGAGCTTTTGTACTACTGCTGACCTGTATTGGCTGTTTCTGTTGCCTTGACGATGGTGGTGACCTAGATCTTGATCTGAAATATAATATTTTATAAAATTGTATGTAGAAGATGCTACCTATTTCATTATCATTTGAGATATAATATTTGATGATGAACACTTGATGTAAGGAATTAAACTTGATTTTTTTCAATAAATGTTTTTTTTTTATATTTTAAGTCACACCAACACTTAAAAGACCATAGGGGCAACTTTCCAGCTTTACTGCCAGAGAAATACCTCAGGTACCCCTTTAATTCAGGCATAACGTCTTGGCACCGTCCTGAGCAGAACCACCAACCTTCCATAAGGCATATCTGTTACAAAAACAAAATGTCTGAATTTATATTGAAATCTTTGCTTCAAAATTTCTGTCTCATTTTCTCAATTTCTCTGATCTTGTAACATCAGGTTTGTAGAAAAATATTATAGGAGTTAATCATTACCTTGATGAAGATCTGTCTTGAACTTTCTTTATATCAGCTGAAAAATTGAAATGCATTAGAATTACTAATAAATAATATTTAAAATGTAGTAAAATGCCTATTCCACTTGATTACGGTTCTGTAATTTTAGACTGTTTTAAGGTTTTATTTTGTAAATATTGACTTTAATTTAAAACTGACACTTATATAGTAAGTTTTGCCTGCAACAAGCCGTCCTAATTGCAATATGATATTGATCTACTGATCTATATAGAAATTTAAAATATGACTTTAACCTTTTTAGACCTCGGTTGAGCTCCTTTGAGAGTACTATAATCTGTTACAAACATCTAATTTTAACTCATTTTTTTTTTATTTGCTTGATTAAGCACAAGTTTAAAAGTATTTCTGTATATCAACCAACGGTAACCTCATTGGCATTTAGAATTTCTATGTACAAATAAGTACCACCTATCACAGAGCTATGATGTCAAACTCTTAAATTCTGAATCAGGGTTTTATCATTATTATAAACTGCAATGAATCTTGCACATGGGATTGTGGGTCAGGCTTGGAAAATTTTCTATTTTTAGAGCTTCTTATCCCTCTGTAATATAAATCTCTGCTCCTATCAAACATATCTTTACCTTTCTCAGTAATGTCCATCTTCTCTTCAACTTTTTTGTCCTTTTCTATATCACCATTTTCTTGTTTGCCAGTATCAGCAGCTGTGGCATCTACATCTGTTTGTTCTTTATTTTCTTTGTCTTCAACTTCACTCACTTCACCTTTGCCCTTTACTGGCTCAGGTTCGACTTTATCTGTTACAGCTTCAACTGGGATATTATGATCATCACCAGCAGATCCTGAGTTCCTAGTCCTCCTGCTTCGTCTTTCCACTGGTTTTACTTCTGACACGTCCCCTTGGCTGAAACAAAAAAAATATCATCATTTTTTTTATGTAAAATATCAATAATTTTGTTTTTTTTGTTGTTTTTTGTGTGTATTATATATTTTTTTTTTTTTTGGGGGGGGGGGGGAGGGGGGATTTAGGGCTGTGGGATAGGGGTTTACTTTCTAGCTTTAATACTAGATGATAGTGCCCTTCCATTTTGTTGAAGTACCCAACTAGATTCAAACTCTCAGCCATGAGGGGCAAGTGGTTTGAAGTCAATGACATTAATAATCATTCGACACGCCTTTATTTTTAAATCATGTGGGATATGTAAGATGATCATGTAATTCTTCTTTTGGGGTATAGGCAACATTGACACACAGTAACGGGATATTTTGTTTTTCATATACAATCCATACAAGTGGTGGTAAGCCCCCAAATACCCCTGTAAAGTCCTTACAGGAATGAACAAATATCTTAGTAAAATCTTTTTTATGTTAATAGGATGACTAACACAGGGATTCAAACCCACAGCAGTGAGATCAAGTGACCATATTTCTTCAAGCTAAGATGGGGTATAAATTTAATTAGTTTGTAAACATTTTCAAAAAATCAAGCATTATGTTAATTAAACCAACAAAATTTGTTCCGTGAATTTAATAGATTAGAAATAGCATGTACATGTATATACATATACAGAAATTATTTCAGTAATGATGAATTAAAAACTGCATGTATTTACATGTGAACTTATAAATTATTATTTCAGTAAATGTGTATGCTCAAATTGCCTTTCTTTTATCTTATCATGTGAATGTAAAGCAATTTATATATAAGATTATATTGTCAAAACTTGAACAAGGAAAGAATATATTTAGTCAAATTAACAAGTTAAATTAAAGGAAAGGATCAAAGAAGAGCATTCAAATCTACTTACAAGTGAAATCTTCTCATTCAATCATTAATAAAAAAAATAAAAATCATACCTCTATAAACTGAAGTTTTGTCTTAATAAATTCAAAATATTAAAAACTAACTATAAATCAACATTGACCTACATTCTCTTATCTGAGCACTTCCCTGTAGATATATTATATATGTACATGTATGTATGCATATCAGTTATAACAAGTGCATACATACTGGTAAAAATGTCTTTGAAGGGTATAGAGCTTTTAATTCATGCACAGAAATTGTTTATAAAATTTATAAATGGTAAATTAATCTTGTTTCTGTAATCTAATAGCTGATTCTTGAAAGAGTTGTAACTGTAAGTTAAGCGGCCAGAAGCAAAGGGTATATCCCTGAACCTGCTGGGACCATAAGTGGTAAGCCTCTAACACCAGTAGTGTCCAGTACAGAAGACAAAGACCAGCCTGCACATCTAATCAGCCTGACCTGGCTCAGTACTGTTGGTAACATATTAATCATATTTTGATTTTGAAATTCCTTAAACTTTGAATGTACTGTTCAAAATTCAAAGCCAGGAAAATCCATTTCAAAAATTTAGCAGTTTAAAGTCTAGTCAGATTCCATACATAACAGGCCTCGACATTAGCGGTGGTCCGTTGGTCCGAGACCACTTGATTTTGACAAGGACCACCTAATTTTAAAACCCACTGGTCCGTCGGACCACTTGAATTTTCTGGTTGATGCAAGGCTCATTTGGGAGAATGGCGATTTGGTCAAAAACATGTTATATAATTTTGTTTAAAATCTATGTCCGATGTATATGGTTCATTAAATCTCTGATTAGTTCAAGAAGTTCTAAGTCATCAATAATTTTCATTTTAAGTCGCTAAAATTTTGTTTATGCAAGTTAAAAGAGTTAAGAATTTGTGATATGAATTTAGGTACAAAATCCATTCAAATGGTGCTAGTAATTATGCATCGTCTGATAACCACGGCGGAACCATTAACATTTATGTTATAATACATGTTAATCAACTGTGAGTATCCGATGATGGTAATTATATGATATAGGATAAACTTAAATTTCAGATACTTGAATAACGGCAGCAAACTAGAAAAAATACATCTAGTAATTCTATAGATGCTATTTATCTTTATTTTAACTGTTTAAAGATAAGAGATCTGTTTCTTCTCGAGTTAAAACTATTTTAAAAGGTTAAAAATACCCAATGTCAAAAATGAATATCAACCAACAAGGAACAGGGAGGTAAAATTCTGTATTACAAATCTGTGAGAAAAATAAGATAAGTTATAGTAAATAATAACGTACGTTGTCATTATTTTAATAATTTAGATATTTCCTTGTTTTCAAAAACAAGGATAAGATAATTTATTAGTTCCATTAAAAATGTTGATCTATAAAAGATGCTATGTTATTATTATGATTATAAGACGTACCACGTATCAGCAATGAATATTTGAATAACAGTAAGAAAATAACAGACACAAATGGCTTCACTATTCCCTAATTTGAGTTGAGGGAGAAATCACTTTAATATAAAAGTTAACATAAATAAGAGCTCTGTTGTGTTTTTTTGACTGAAACAAATAACTCTACGATAAAATGCATACCGACTTGCTCTCCCTTTTCTGATTAGATGAAAATTTTTTATCTAAAAATATCTGTTTTCTTTAAAGGTTAATAATACATCTTTGTCATAAAGTTTAAACATTTTTTTCTACATTTGCAGTAAAATGACATAATAATGATTACTGACCATCTGACTTCTGGAAGGACCACCTAACTTTCAAATCTAGTGGTCCAGCGTACCACCTGCTAAAAAAGTTAGTGTCGAGGCCTGCATAATGTGCTGCTAGCAAAACTCATCACTAATGGTATATATCTATCATAGCTATTAGTACTTAAATCGTTAAGGGCATTATCAACTGTTGGCCTACTATAGGCAACATTTTTCACCCATGTAATCAGTGCAGACCAAGAACAGCAGGCACATCCAACCCATCTGATCATTTTCTGCATATCTTTTGAAAATGTTCCCTAAAACTGATGAATGGTTATGCCTAGATACAAAGATGGACAAGTCATTTTTCCATATTCAGCATGGTTAAAAAATCTGGGAAAAGAATGATCCTTCAGAAACAATGTATTGGGTCTGTTCATAAAAGATGATATTAGAGTGCAGCATCTCCCATGCCCCCTAGCACCTGCTTTAATGGTATTCAATCTTCAACACCAACATGCTGTAATGAACACTAATCATTATGTCATAAATTTTTTTCAGTCAAAGGAAAAATATTTTGGGTATAAATTAAATGATCATTTGTCAGTCAAAAAACTGCAAACCAACTAGTTTTTGTAAACATGTGCTCAATGATTGAGCTAATGACCAAGATTTCTGCAGATGAAAAAAGCCATCACCGTTGAAAGCTGGCAACTTAAAAGAAAGTATTTAAAGAGCTGACTACCAAACACAAGAATAACTTTTACCTTTCCATTTGTTTAACAGGTATTAACTTCGATAAAAAGCAATTTTTCTGCACGTTTTACTTGGTTTTTATCAAATCTTAAAGTGTCAATTGACCTCTTTCGAATTTCTTTTCCTTCTTAGGTTTAGAATAATCATTTATACCTTGAAACTATAGTTCCTGCAAAATATTTCACCTTTTTGTGTATAAAAGGTACCATTACAATCAAACTGAGTCAAAAGAAACCTTTAATATTTTATATATTTAAAATAAGGTTATCAAACAAACCTTTTAGATCCTGAATCCAGCCTTGATAGCCTTCTTCTACTTCTACCCATTGTTTCTTCCACAGCTCCTTCTGATTTACTTTCTACTGGTTCCCTTTCCTTCTTATCTCCATCTGGTTTCTGGTCTTGAACCTTTTCTACTGGTTTAATTGTTTCTTCAATGACTGGTTTCCTTCCTTTCTCTGGAGTTGGTTCCTTCACTTCCTGAGAGACTGGTTCCTTAACTTCTTCAATAGCTGGTTTCTTGTTTCCCTGAGAGACCGGCTCCTTGCTTAGTTCACTAGAACTCTTTGCCTGAGATGTTTTTTCAGCAGGGGTAGGTGTTGATTCTGGTTTTTCTGAAAAGTGGACTGGTTTTTCTGGTGAAATTTCTACAGGTGGAGATCTGATTGGTGGAGACTGGTCCACAGATTTTCGCTTTTTTGGTGAGTCATCTGCATCACTCTCTTGACTTGAACTGTTCACTGAAATTCAGAATACATAACTTTAGAACCTTGCTTTAAGATCATTTAACGTTTAACCCATTAAACTTTTAATTACAGATCTGAAAATGTTAGGCTAGCAAGTCAACATAATAAAGCTGGGTCAGGCTCTTAGCTATCAACTTTGGTTTCAGCAGACTATGATTTAGTATTAAGAAGATGCAAATGCACTGGATAGGGTGAGAACTTTTTATTTCTATTGAACTTTTTCCTTTAGAATATCATTGCACTCGTGGATATTTAAGTTAAAACATTACTTTCTATATAATATTGTCACCTAGTGCAGTAACGGGTAAACTCCTATTAAATTATACAAGGAGTAAACCCATTATTGTACTAAAGTGACATGGTATCAAAATCATGTTCTAAAAATAGTCTACAAAACCTGCAATCATGATATATGAGCCGCGCCATGACAAAGCCAACATAATGGGTTTGCGACCAGCATGTTTCCAGACCAGCCTGCGCATCTGCGCAGTCTGATCAGGATCCATGCTGTTCCATAAAAACCCTTTTACAAGTAGAGAAACTGGTAACGAACAGCATGGATCATGATCAGACTGCGCAGATAAGCAGGCTGGTCTGGATCCATGCTGGTCGCAAACCCATTATGTTGGTTTTGTCATGGCGCAGCTCATATACATATATATATACTTGTCGATCTTCCCCCTTACACCATCTAAAGCCATTTTTCATTTGAAGAATACCGTAACACTTTCTGAACCTCACATTTCTTCCTTTAATTTTATCTGTTATTATAAACCATGTTACTTTTTATCAAAATATTTATTCCTGAACCATTTTCATCAAAAATAATTAAAACTATGAAAGTTATACTTATAAATTAAAAGAATCTAAAATGATATTCACACCTGTGCATAGAAAATCAATACAGAACAGTATAACTTCATATATATATAAGATCACATAAAATTTAACTGTAAAAAAACCTACTTAATACTGACGATTCATCATTTCTCCAGGCATCCTAGCAACAAAATTTTATTTGCCTCTCACATTATTGAAAATCAATATCATCTCTTCAAACACTATTTCATAATACATTTTATCCAATATTTTTTGATACTCAAGACGAAATTTGTTTAATAACACAAGAATAATTTTCATAAACAGATTATTGCATTGCTTAACTGCCATACAGTAAGCATGATGTCATGTTAATACAGAGTTGATATTTTTTCTCACAAACACATGCTAGGCATTATCATTTCCCCCCAATTGTCAGAAGATAAAATCTTGGGGACCGTCTCAACATTGTTATAAGCAATATTTATTCAATGGTTTATTCAATACAATATAAATACTTTATGAACACTGCCTGTAATAAATTTTAAACAATATAGTACAGAATACTGATCCTGTGGTCTTTAATATCATTCTGAATGAAAATATTCTTCTGTTCTAAATTTTATCCTGTGTTCTAAAATAAGCAGGAGTTTTCTCCCATCTTTTTTTTTTAATCATAATACCATTTCCAAAATTACACACTTAATTTACAATGTTAATGAATATGTTTTTTTTTCATCAATAATCATTTATTTATCATATTTAACATATTATGAAAATCCTTTAAAATTGTCATCATAACTTACGATGAATTTTAGAATCCTTTTGGATTTTACAGACAAGTTAAAAATTTACCAAATTCATTCAATAGTTCACAAGTACATCCTATGACACATAAAACAAGGTTGATAAAATTATGGTCCTTGTTAATAAAAGGTCTTTCAACAAAGGTAAATTATCACTAATATTAGATATATAGAAATAAATAAGTATCATAGTTTTAAGAAGAATATATGCATGCTTTTTAAACCTCAAATCTTCATTTGGAAACTTTTTTAGCAAATAACCATGTTTCACACATGTACAGGACAAAGTGTGAGCCGGCCAGTCAGGTAACTTTTCAATGGTAGACAGACATGATAACTTAATTTAAATATTTTACGAATTAATCAAACAGCTCTGTGTAAATTTGCTTAACCAGATTTCTCACATGTCTTAAAGAAATGTCAATAACATATCAATGAGCTCTGGTCATAAATGCCCATAATGCACTAATTTTGAAACATTGAAATACGTAAATACATAAAAAATTATATAAATACATTAATCTATACAGACTGTTCATTATGTCCCCATAGTAGGTATTTACAGTTAACACTTGAATAATATTAAAATGTTAACTGAAAATCTTTACATATCACTGGGCACATTTACAATAGAATACTTAATCAGTAACCGTAACTTATACAAAACACAATAATTGCTCTCATGACTGATCTCCCTTGATAAGATATCTAGAAGTTAACAATGTATATACAAACTAAACATCTTCTCATCATTGCTCACCACTGTATTCAAATTACTTTATTTCAAAAAGTATCTAACAATCTAAAGAAACAAATTCTAGGAGTTATATTTTTCTTTTAAAAGAAAAATCAGAAATTTTGTCCAATGCAATCTACATGTATGATGCTCTCTTACAAAAAAAAAAACTTATCAAAGTCTGAGTTCTAATCAAGCAAAGTTGCATGTTTTATCATTTTTGAAAAGCATATCCACAACATTTAAGCCCTACAATGTACTTAATAATTCTACACACAAACTAACATATTACTGCCAACCACTTCAAATTAACTGCAAGCAAACATATCAATTATTGTGTTGAGCTTTGGGCTTATAATAATTCTATCGAGGTTAAAGCTACTCTCCGACACAAAAGGATCTATTAACATCATCATATTTCTTTACAGTTATAAAATATGCATAGAAGTAAAATTTGGAGTCTTCACAAGATAAGTGTGACCTAACAGTTGTTATGTTTCACTTGACACAAATATAAATAACCTTCAACCGTGAACATATTGCAATTAGGACGGCTTGTTGCAGGCAAAACTTACTATATAAGTGTCAGTTTTAAATTAAAGTCAATATTTACAAAATAAAACCTTAAAACAGTCTAAAATTACAGAACCGTAATCATTTTTCAATGGAAATGAAAGTACTTTAAATTCTTAAAAAATAGGCCATTTTTAAAGCAAAAAATATACAGGTTAAAAGAAGAAGTGGAAAAAAAAACATCCACTCTAAATTTGTGTTTGAAATTTTGCATATCGATTATAACGAAGGAAAGCTTCATGAAAATAAGAAAAAAAATGTATTGTTTTCCTTTATTGTAAATTATCTGCCCTTGAATTTAACAAAAAGTCCAATTCAAGGGCATAAATGAGAACCATGACCCCATTTTTTTTTCATTTAAAATGTTTCTATTATCATATTCTAACAACATGCCAAGTTTAAAGAAATTCTATTGAACTGTTTTAATTTTGCCTATATGTCTAAATGAAAACTCCCGAAAACGTTTTTAAATGTTATATCTTCAGACATGAAATATATTAATCATCTAGTTCCATAATGTACGAGTCTGTGGTGAAATTTTATCTGTTGATGACATTTTATTTCCAAAATGCCCAAACAATGATGTGTGGGATAGTAGCTTTAACATCCTGATAAAAAAATAATTAGCTAGCAGAAAATGTTTCATCAATGGTTCACACTAATCTAGGGTCAATACAATTATGATCAACCTTTGATTTTTTAAACTATCATAGTTGATTTTTTTAAACTATCATTTATAAGTGTTTTACTGGTAATTTATTCAAACATTTTGACAATAAAACTAGGGAATAATCACACAATATAAAAGGTTATACTTACAAGAGCTTTCTACATGTTCAATCAGTTGTTTTTGCTGGGCTAGGTATTGCTTGATAAACTCATTCTGGCATTCATCTTCCTGTAACTGTATACAAGACCAATATTCACGATTCTGAGATTAAATACTGTATACAGATGAAATATTCACAATTCTGTGATTAAATACAATTGTGAAATTGTTTTATAATATCCCATAACATGAGAATAGTGAACAAAGCGTCCTTTTCACGCCCGGCAAACTGTCGCTCCACTTCAAAATTGTGGTGTACGGTAAAACGAGCGAACGGCATTTCCGAGATAGAGCGGAAGGCCGATTTAAACGCCTAATTGTAAGTATTGTTTATGTTTTTGTCTTGTTATTCATTTAAGTTGTATTTTTTCGAAAAACGGAAAATGTAGTTCCGTGTTGGATTGATTTAGGCTTCCAATGATTTAAGCTGTTACAGAAAGAAAATTATATTAAGCCCGGGAGAACTTTTCTCCCTGACGAAGCGAACGACGATTTGTAGAATATTGAACTTCCCAACCATAGAAATGCCATACCCTTCGGATTTCTTGAAAAAGTGTATTAGTAAATTATCAACCCGTAATAAGAACTTGTCCTTCGTGCAAAATAAATTATTCCTGAAGGATTCCTTAAATTTGTAAATCGATATTTTTCTAAAGTAGTGGAGCGAAAGGGCAAGAGATGGAGCAAAAGGTTCGATGTTGAGCGCAAGGCGATATTCTTTTGACGTATTGAGAGGAGCGTAGTCTATGATTTTCTATATATAAAAGCTATAGAAGTTAAAAAAGACGTGATCAAGTGTTGAGACCGAAATTATATACCTTTTTATGACAACTAATAAAGTGTGAAATCATTTCAACGACTATAGCTTAATAAATGTAATCGCGAAGGTGTCACCTATGGCTGCCGTGTAGATTCGAAATTTGGATGAGGCCCGACCATTGAATCATACACATGTATGCATGGCATAATACAGGATGCCACTTTTTCAATGTCAATCATGATTTTTCACACGGTTATGTACATTTAAAAACGTGTCCGTGCAAATTTTTGACAAAATCAAATATTTTCAGTTCTACCGCGAACAAATGTTTCCGAGCAGGTACGTGTAACGCGATTGTTCCCGCCAAAATGTTGTTTTTCGAAAACTTAGATATTCAAGGTGCAGAACAGAAACAAAATTATGCAATGCATGGAACACATTAAAATTAAATGAATCACTACTACCAAGTTCAGTTCACAATGACTTTCTGTAATTAATAGCTCTAACGTACCTGTTCAGAGCAAACACAAATAAGCCACGTTTTCATGAATTTGTAAGGTGGGGCATCGTGTCAGTCGTTATAAGGATGTACAAGTGTTCCAGTTATGTTTCAAAATACTTCCTCCCTTATTTAGCATTGTTGTTTAGTTTTTGCAGTGTTTGATTAAAGTAAAAAATTCTATTTACACTTTGAGAGGAAAATAATAAACTAAACAACAATGCTAAATAAGGGAGGAAGTATCTTGAAACATAACTGGAACACGTGTTACATCCTTATAACGACTGACACTTGTCAACCATTTTCATAGCGTTTCCCCACCTTACAAATTCATGAAAACGTGGCTTATTTGTGTTATTGCTCAGAACAGGTACGTTAGAGCTATTAATTACAGAAAGTCATTGTGAACTGAACTCGGTAGTAGTGATCCATTTAATTTAATGTGTTTCATTCATTGCATAACTTTGTTTCAGTTCTGCACCTTGAATATCTAACTTTTTTCGAAAAACATAACATTTTGGCGGGAACAATCGCGTTACACGTACCTGCTCGGAAAAATTTGTTCGCGGTAGAACTGAAAATATTCGATTTTGTCAAAAATTTGCACGGACACACGTTTTTAAATGTAAATAACCGTGTGAAAAATCATGACTGACCTCGAATAAGTGGCATCCTGTATTATGCCATGCATACATGTGTATGATTCTATGGTCGGGCCTCATCCAAATTTCGAACATAAATTATGGAATCTACACGGCAGCCATAGGTGACACCTTCGCGATTACATTTATTAAGCTATAGTCGTTGAAAGGATATCACACTTTATTAGTTGTCTTTAAAAAGAATATATATATCGGTCTCAACACTTGATCATGTCTGTTTTAACTTCTATAGCTTTTATATATAAAAAATCATAGACTACGCTCCTCTCAATACGTCAAAATAATATCGCCTTGCGCTCAACATCGAACCTTTTGCTCCATCTCTTGCCCTTTCACTCCACTACTTTAGAAAAATATCGATTTACAAATTTAAGAAATCTTTCAGGAGTAATTTATGTTGCACGAAGGACAAGTTCTTATTACGGGTTGATAATTTACTAATACACTTTTTCAAGAAATCCGAAGGGTATGGCATTTCTATGATTGGGAAGTTCAATATTCTACAAATCGTCGTTCGCTTCGTCAGGGAGAAAAGTTCTCCCGGGCTTAATATAATTTTCTTTTTGTAACAGCTTAGATCATTGGAAGCCTAAATCAATCCTACACGGAACTACATTTTCTGTTTTTCGAAACAATACAACTTAAATGAATAACAAAACAAAAACATAAACAATACTTACAATTAGGCGTTTAAATCGGCCTTCCGCTCTATCTCGGAAATGCCGTTCGCTCGTTTTACCGTACACCACAATTTTGAAGTGGAGCGACAGTTTGCCGGGCGTGCTTTTGTGAATTGTAATTTGTTTTCTTAAAATTGTAATAAGTAGAACTTTTTAATTTGCACAATTGTGGATTCACCGCACTTTGTATTCTTTATACTTAATTTTAGAAATCTGTTTAAGAACCATTAAGCTCTTATGAATCTTCTTTGAGAAAAAACCTAATATTTGAATTACATTTATCCCTGATCTAATTTTATTTAATGAAGTTGATAATTTGAGCTTGAACCTGCGTTCATTACGCTTCAAAGATAAAACTGTCATTCCAATAACGAATGACTTGGAAAATGGGATTAATTTATGTCAAAATAATATGTAAGTGCCATTTTATCTTAAAAGGATGTCCTTTTACTTAACACTACTCACTCTTTTGGGCTTTTATCCTTATAATGCTTTAAAGTACAAAATACATTTACTAGAAACCTAATCAATCAAGTGATTTTTACAAGTAAAATGGCTTCCTGCGGGGAACATTTTTAATGATATAAAGATATTTCATTTAACTATTTTCAAAATTTTTTTGGGGAGAGGGGAATAAATAAACGTTTATATCTGGAATATAGTTGACAATAATCGATCAATATAGAAGAAGGTCTTTCGAAACTGGTGACCGTTGATGACTGGAGAAGGTCGAACCAGGGTCTTTCAAATTTGAAAGACCCTGGTCGAACATAAAACAATTATTTCTTGCTAAGAAAATGATTAAATAGGCCTATCATTTTATGAATAATTCCAAGCAAAAAAAAAGAGTAAACACACAAGTTTACTCAGAAAACATCTCTATTTATTATGGCAGATGCCACTACGAATATTTTAATTTTGTAGATTTTCAGTATGAACAATTTATTGTTTGTGAAATTTGAGAGACATATATCAAAGAAACAATGATGATTTTCAAATAAATCATTCAAGTTTTTCCACCTTAAACAGTAAAATAATTATAGAAAATTAGAAATATCACGTAATAGGTTTTTGTTCTTAATTAGATTTAATTCTGACTAATTCCCTAGAGGTAGTTCGGTAATGTACTGAGAAACGGTATTTAGCCAGGTTTTCGAAAACGTCAATTAACCAATTACAGATCACATGCTCCTCCATGTACCAAAAACTTGTCATGTGCTCCTCCATGCCTCAAAAGTTAAACGCGTACCAATACCCTGCGGTCTCCAGACCGCAGGGAATAATCTGCCATTCTGGTGGGGTATATCAATTCAACAATTTTGCTTATTATGGTACTGTCACATTATAGTTTTTATCTAGTTTTCAGAAATAATATCGATATTTCAATCTTTTATTTTTTTAGTTGTTTTTTTTTCTATGCCAAAAGGGCTTGTTGAAAAATCAGGGATTTTTTGCCAAGATTTTGGGAATAATTGACCCATACCCATGGAATTGGGAGTTTAGCTGTGTTTTGTTAAAAATTGGGGCAAAATGCACAACTGAAATTTTGCAGTCATTAAATGGATGCAAACAATTACTGTCTATGATGGCATCTTCAAACATATAAGCACTTTTACAGTAAAGAAGCCTTTATTTGCAAAGATTTTAGAATTTTTAATCAATATTTTTATTTTGTAACTTTCAATTGGGAAATTTATTCTGTGGATTGGGAAAATAATATACTGTTTTCATTTGGGAATATGACCCAATAATGGCTATAAGATAAGCCAAAAAAATCCTGAAAATGGATGTAATTTCTATGGCATATATATAGAAGAAGTAACATTCATTCACATTTCTGGAAAAACTTGCTGCAATATTTATATGAATTAATGTATACATTGAGATTAACATTATAAACAATTAACATCAACTTTCTCTACTTGACAATAAACTTGTTCCAATATTATGATCAAAATTATCATGTTTTGATACCAAAATAAGTTTGTTAATATACCAAAAGTATTAAATTCCTATTCTAAAACACCAAATAATTTAAAATTAAGCAAACTTACCCCTTGAGATGGAGCTGAAAACAGAAAGTATCAAATTTATCGCAAAACAAATCAAACAAAAGGATTAAAAATACCTTTATCAATCATGGTAAGTATACAAGGTCATTCATGGAAAAGTGGTTTAAAATTGAAGGTGTGGTAATAGTTAACATTTACTAAATCTTTTTACATAATCTACAAGCAGTTTTATATTTCAAAATATAGAAAAGAAACAACCAAAATTAATATCTCATGATGGTTATACATGTATTCCTTCCTTCCAATTAAATTGAACAAGAAATATTTATAAAGATGTGTTTAATTTTATTGATTAACTGTACATGTAACTGTTGCCATAGTAATAATTTGAAGCTTACCTTCATGCTCTTTTCCTAGATTTTCAACAAGCAGTTGCTGAAATAAAGACCAACACTTAATTAAATACACAATATAACAGTAAAAAATTAATTAACTACCTATTCTTAATATTTGACAGCAACATCAGAATAAATTTAAAAAGTCTTTAAAGATGACAGCCTTATAAATAGAAATATAGATTAATTTGCATGTAGACTGAGTGCAAGAAAACTAGTTCCACTGACCCTTTCCAAAGGTACTGGTCAACATGTTTGGTTTTTGAAAGAGAGAAAATGTAAATGTGAAGAAACCCTTAGTCCAATGCAACACTAATAGCTGGAATTAAACCAGGCAATTTACATAAACAGTAGAATCCCTACTAACGACCAACTCAGATTTAAGACCACATAATTTCTTATTTGATAAGTGAAATATGTTATTGTACATTATATATTAAATAGAGGATATTGAATGAGTGTAGTTTAATTCTAAATTTATTGAACGAGTTGAATAAAATCATATTATGCGAGCCTCTGGCGAGCATAATATTGTTTTATTCAACGAGTTCAATAAATTTAGTATTAAAGCTATACGAATATAATATTCTATTTATCACATATATAAAATAAGAACAGTAAACTGTTAAAATTAGTATTTTTGAAGGACGCGCCTCTAGTGTAACGCTAACATTAGCGCGTTTTAACGCTATGTTAATATATAGCGCAAATGACATCACGTCAGTCTTATTACACTAGTGTCATATCGTTTTTATTAAATGGCTTTATGACACTCCTGCGTCGCGGTTTATGTGATAATAATTAATATTGAAATCAGACCAAAAAGAATTTAATATTAAAATAATTTCTTCAGAAAATTTTTTTGCTCTCATCTGATTAAATATTATAATGTAAGTGTACATGTATATTGTATTTGTAGGTTCATGGACTACCTTGGACTGAAAATTTAAGGAGAAGTGACTTCTCCCTTCAGGAAAAATATGGAGAAGTTTTGTAATTTAAAGAGAAGTGACCTGTTGCTCAATAAAGTTTATTTTAAGCATTTGATTAACATCAACACAACATTACATCAACACATTTTTTGTTAATGTTTTTTTTTGAGGTTCAACAGTTTCTGACTCAAACTTTTAAATGCAATTGATTAAGAAGAAAAGTTCTTTAATTCATAATAATTATCCAAATTCTATCAATTTACATCATTCAGTTTCAATGATGAATATTATTGTAATGTACAGTTGTAATTAATTAGTATTTACTATCATAAATGTAATGGTGATAACGAGTGATAAACAAGAACGGACCGGCAAACATATTATGAGATATTGTAAATCAAACAAGACATATAGGGGAAATTGTAAATCAAACAAAATGTATACAGAATATTGTAAATCAAACAAAATGTATAGGGGATATTGTAAATAAGACACAAATATACGTTTGAGGTAACTAATTTATTAATTAGCTTGCCTTTTATCTTGAGGTGTCCTGAATTTCATTTTAGGTGATAAATTTGGCTGCTAGCCAACTCCTAATAACAACTCTACTTATAGTCCAATATTATTATTTAACTATTTTTGCCTATCGGCCATACTGGTTAAGTAAAGCGCTTTACGGATATACCAAATTTTTGAATGGAAAAATTCAACAATGCTGCTGGTGCATGGGCAATTATTTTGTTAAAAAAAATTCTGTTAGAAACTTCTGACTCATTTAAAGGTTTGCATTTGAATTAGCCAATCAGATTTCGTGCACTGTATGACGGCCATTTGTTTATCGCTGTATAAGGAATTAAATGAGAGGATTTAGCCATGATTTTTCAGATGTGACATTTTAATTATTTTGTTAATTTGGTATTTTTTTGAGGTTTTGGTCATAAATAGGTCAATATTAATGTAAATATAAGCTGTCTTTATTGTTTAAATGCATCTAAATCCATGTCTAATGTCAAAATGTTTGCTACACCTAACGTAACATGGAAAATGAAAAATGTAAAATATCAGATTAATGAACGATAGATATGAAATAGGTTACACAATGTACGTGTAGGTGTTACAATTAGGACAGGGCCAAAACACCTTTTTTGGGAAGGGGCTTCAGCCTTTTTCTTGGGGAAAATATGCTTGATTTTTGCAAACTTTGGGAAAAGGGGTCTCAAATTTAACACAAAATTTTAACAAGTTCTTCAAAATAGAAAAGCAAAAAGCACTGGGAAATACTAATAAGGCAGTAAAAGACCTTAATTCAACACCATCATTTAATTTTGTCCAAAATTCTATGGGAAATTTCAAAAGACTGGGGAATTTTGAGGACCAAAGTGGGGAAAAAGAGGCTATTTTGGTTGGGGAAGCAGCCTATATTCGGCCTCTACAAAGAAGGGTTTTTTGGCCCTGTAGGACAATCTTCCGACTTCCTTTCGTGGCGTGCACGTCGCTCGGAAGGCATAGGTCACACCAGATGGGTGACCTAGTTAGGTCACTTAGCTGGTGTGACCTAACCAACGACGAAGGATGTGGCCCTAAAGAGAGCTGCTGCTCTCGGAAGAGGTGCCTTTCCTCTATTGTCATTTGTTCATGAAGCAATGAATTTGGTCCTAGAGAAGGTCTACGACGATCGACAGCTTGAAAAGACCTCCGCCGCGGCTCTATGACATCGACGACGTTGCAGGCGAATAAGTCCTCCGTTGCAGGCTCTACGTTACCATTAATCGTAATAGAGGCCGACTAGTCTGGGACATATAGGAAACCGACGCCCAGTATAAATAAAACTAAAAACACACACTGTAGGACTATCCTTCTTATAAATGCTTTTCTCTCGTCAATTTGTGTCTCTTATTTGGAAAAATTGCACTTGCACAACAAATATCAGATATTCATACAGTTAAATAAGTGCATTTGTTAAATAAATTCATAATCTAAAAGTTCAAAACTTTAAACAATGGGTCAAAGATTAGAACATCTGAACATGTCAACCATAATTGTCTTGCTCAGCTGGACACATACCCATTGATTCTTGATTCACCCTGTGATGTCATCATGTTTCAATCCGATCTGATCAATATATGTTTCAAAGTCTGAAGTAAATTCTTATAGCATAATGATTTTTTTGCTTAATTGTAAGTGTGTTTGATAAATTATAATATCAATATCGAATATTTTAAAGTAATTAGGTCAGCAACTGATTATTAGGGTAAGCTCATTTACACCTGTTCAATTATGCATTTTGATTGGATAGAATTGTCAAATCCAGTGTCTAATACGGGGAAGTCAAAGTCCGGGCCCGCCAAGCGGGCCCTGGCTTTGGCTTGCCCGGCTATAGACTACACGTGTATATTTAAAAGAAAATCAAATATAACTAGAAATGTGTCCATAGGACACGGGTGCCCTCAACGCGCCACTGTTCTGTCAATCTTTTTACTAAGTCAAGGGAAATAAATCTACAAATACTGGATAAATCCACAAGCGAAACCCCAGGTGCAAATCTAAAATATGCTGAGCAACCTGCCCATAAGGTTTAATAACTATGTCAAATCCTTTTTGAGAAACTAAGTGAAGGGCAATTACTCTAAAAATACTTAATAAATCCAGACGAAAATACCTGGTGCACAACTGCACATGCTGATCAATATTCCTGTAAAGTTTCATGACTCTAGGTCAAATACTTTTTGAGTTACGAGCAACACATGTTGAAAATTGCCAAATTTTACTAACTCAAGGGCAATAACTCTTGAAATAATAAAAATATCCAGATGAAAATACCCAGGTGCACAACTACACATGCTGATCAACATTCCTGTAAAGTTTCATGACTCTAGGTCAAATACTTTTTGAGTTATGTGCAACACAAGTTGAAAATTGCAAAATTTTACTAAGTCAAGGGCAATAACTCTAAAAATACTAAGAATATCCACACGAAAATACCCAGGTGCACAACTACACATGCTGATAACATTCCTGTAAAGTTTCATGACTCTAGGTCAAATACTTTTTGAGTTACGTGCGACACAAGTTAAAAATTGCAAAGTTTTACTAAATCAAGGGCAATAACTCTGAAAATACTTAAAATATCCAGACGAAAATACCCAGGCTCACAACTACACATGCAGATCAACATTCCTGTAAAGTTTCATGACTCTAGGTCAAATACTTTTTGAGTTACATGCGACACAAGTTGAAAATTGCAAATTTAACTAAGTCGAGGGCAATAACTCTGAAAATACTAAAAATATCCAGATGAAAATATCCAGGTGCACAACTACACATGCTGATCAACATTCCTGTAAAGTTCCATGACTCTAGGTCAAATACTTTTTGAGTTACCTGCGACACAAAAGTGAACGGACGGATGGACGGACGTCCGGCCGAAATGGAATAAGGGGCCATTTCTTTTGTTATTTTCTATTGTTTAATAGAGGGCCAATGGCCCCTTACTCTATTGTTACGGAATGAACTCTATTGTTCTCTTATCCTCTGTTTACAGTTAGATGGCCCCCTATCCTTATTCGGTAGTGCGGACAGACGGACAAAGGGTAAATCTAAATGCCCGCCACCAACGTGGGGGCACAAAAAAAAACAATTAAAAATATATATAGAATTCTATACCTATCAATTAAATTTTCAGTGTCAGTTCTAGTTAGGCGCCGCCATTTACAATGTAACTCAATGATAAAAGACGGTGTATTCCGATAACGGAACAAATCTCAACTTTCAGATAAATAATAAACGTTGAGTGTTCTGAGTCAGTGAGTGAAAACGGAAGTGTTGCATGAAATACCCAAGAACACTTTTAAAACGGAAAAAATGAGCGGAATTTTTAACGACTTACCCCTTCATAGGCTTTGCCTAATTTCATATTACAAATTGTGTAGTTTTCGGATGGTGTATGTCCTTGCAGAAGTATTTATACCAGACAATTATTTAGATCACCAATCGATGAGAAGGCCCGAAACCATGAGAATAAGGCATACTATGAAGAAATCTGGTCTGACGTTTACTTTGCTTTCAACTGTGTTTCTGAAATCTTTGTATCAATTGTAATTTTGTTGTTTGGCATCTGAGCTAGAGCTGATTTTTTTAACACATTTTGACATACATTGTACCATACTATGATACATATGCAAGGGAAGTAACCACCACAAAAAATTATCTATAATCAACAGGACGCATTTCGATTACTGGATAACAGAATAAGATTTTTACCGTTTTCAGTCGTTCGACAAGTTGACTTTTACTCCCACTCTTAGGCAAACCTCTTTTATCGCATTCTTTCTTTAAATCAACTACACGAAGCGAAGAAATAGGCTTTCCACCTATGTTTACATCTCCATCATCCGCCATTTTGTCGTGGTTCAATCTAATTACCCGAAAGGGATCAATAATACACAAAAGATAACTCAAGACTACAAAAGCTATTTTGCAACGTTTTAGTATAATGAATTTGCTCCGCTTGTAACAGTCAAAAGTCGGTACGTTACGATACCGAAATCAACTTGATTTCGGTAAAGTTACCGAAATCAACTTTTCATTACCGAAATCAACTTATAAAATCACAATTAAGCGTTTTATTATATTTTTATCATTATAATATATTACAATAGGTTAAGTTTGACTTTCATGCAAAAAATCAGTTCGAAATAATCATTAATAATGATATTAGAAACAAATAACTAAATATCAAGATTATTCCCTGATTTGTCACGAACCGAAATATATGTTACAATACCGAAACCGACTTGTAAAATCACAATTAAGCGTTCTATTATATTTTTTTTCATTATAATCTATTACAATAGGTTTAGTTTGACTTTCATGCAAAAAATCAGTTCGAAATAATTAATAATTATGAAATTAGAAACAAAAACCTATATATCAAGATTACTTCCCTGGTTTGTCACGAACCGAAATATATGTTACCATACCGAAATCGGCTTGTAAAAGTTAAAATAAACATTTTCATAGATCTTGTTTAATTAATTAATATAAAATCATTCAAACTGAACCATAAACAAAGGATAATAATATTTAATTATAAAAAATGATGATGTTATAGACGGATATGTATATTATATCATGATTACTTCCCTTGTTATTAATGTGTTGCATTACCTAAATCAAATCAGATTTCATTTCAAAGATGAGAACAACCCCTTAAATATTTGCATGAATTTCAGAAGTCTATGAAAAAGGTATTTGAGTGAGTTTTAAACTTTGAATTCATATCGCTTATTTTCAATGTTTAGTCAGATAACATTGCAGCGTATCATCTCTTTGATGTTTCTTAATGATTTCAAAATACAAGATTAAACAAAACTGTGTTTGAAGTTATACGCCTAATTTAGATCACTATTAAAATAGTTGATTGAAAATTATCACAGTATCTTTTTTAAATCCAATGATTATGATTTGATTAAAATAAAAAGACGTAGAGGTAGCCATTTATCATAACACCTTTACTAATAATTAAGGAGCAAGCATGCACGTGCTCGGACAATGGAGGTGTAAGTTGACATAACATACTCGTTAACCGCAATCCTTTAATATACATCGGCGCATGGAAACTTTAAAGTATCCAAACAACATAATTAGACATAATTATTTTACATGAAATTAAAGCTGCTTGTCTTCATTAAGACAATAAATACATTACAGTTTAATATAAAACGAGAAAGTGTTAAGTTCTGATTTTATGTTTGTAATATTCTTTGAATATCTTATATACTATTAATGTTGGTCCATGCGATTCACAAATGTGAATATAATAAGAGAAAAGACACAAGTGTGTTCTAGTCAGTTTTATTATCTGGACTGATGCATTGGCGGGAAATCTCCCAGGATATAACATTCTACAGGCACAACGTGGTCAGTGGAAATTTACAGAAATGAGTATTAAGGTTAAAGGTCATATGAATATAAAATAACTCAATATCATTACATTGATCGATTTAAAATCATTTTAAATTTCATAACTGTAAACAGCATAAATTTATGGAATGACTGGTTTATATTTATATGATGAAAAAAATGGAACACTTTATACTGACAAATATCAATTATGAAATGTTGTAACTTGTACAATATGACATGCTGTGTATTACTGTATTAAGTAAGGTGTGAAGTAATTAAGACAGGAGGTACAGTTGACATACAATGTATGTTAAAGATAAAAGATTATAATGAACCATCTGTTTATTTCGTATTAAACATTTAAATAAATGACTAAAATATATAAATATTATAATAAAGAGTCCCCATAACACATGTTAGTGATTTGTTAATATATAGTTTAACTGTTCAACAAAAGAAAGACACAAATTTTCCAATTTCCAATTTTACTGCCTGATACATTATACAATTTTTATGGAACATTTTTAGAGCAGTCGAATTATATATCTGTATTCAAATTTATAATAGAAAATCAACTTCCGGTTGAAGTTGGATATTTTTTTTCTTCATAAAACATAAACATGTACAAAATTTATAATTATCTTTAACTCATATTACAGAGTATTTTATTTTTCCATCATAGTCCGATCATAGCTTTTTAAAAATACAATTTGATTAGAAAATTGTTATGCACGACAATCACGTGCAGATATATAACATGCTAATATGGCGGTATCAGACTTTTTCTTAAATCATTATATACATTGCATTCTAATATGAAATGGTATTCGTCTTCTAAGACATTACATGAAAAACATTTTCTATCATTTAAAGGTGTACTATCTGGTTTAGTCCATCTACCTGAGTCTATGTGCAATCTATGAGATGATACTCTTAACCTAGTAAGATCTTTACAAAACCGTTCAACATTGATAATATTTAGATATGGTTGAAACTAAAAAACAGAAATATGTCTCTACTAGAGTTATCTAATCTACTATCTACTAATTATATACATAATTTAAACTTCACCGCTGATTTCGGTAATGCTAAACACATAACGGGTTGTTTAGAACAAAGGCTAATAACTCAATAATTACATTTTGTTAATAACATCATTAAAGTAAAATATTTTCAATAGATTTTTTAACTGAAAGTCTATTTCACTATTTTTCATCAAATAATGAAGAAATAATAGCAATATTTTAACTAGGTTGGTTTTTACGAGTTGATTTCGGTAATGAAAAGTTGATTTCGGTAACTTTACCGAAATCAAGTTGATTTCGGTATCGTAACGTACCCGTCAAAAGTTATAGATATAAGTTATCATCATATTTGTGTAAATGAAAATTTATTAAATTGTAGGAAATTATTACTTGATATGTCTAATTTGAATAAGAGGTAAGCAATTGAGTTTGATAGCTTACCAATAGTTTAAAAACTCCAGTATATTACATTTTTTGCACTGTAATAATCTGGACAACCTAAAATTGAAATCGAGACATCTAATATCATTTGAAGAGCTTTTCAATCTAAAATATTGAATTTATTTTCTAAATCGCTTCGCTTAAACGAAAATAAATCATTTATCACCAAATAATTATAAGACAATTAGTCTGGGACGAAACATCCACATAAAAAAAATGTCAAGAATTATTATAAATATAGAATGTAAACAAAACTCAATTTACACAAATATCTATATATACTATGTTAACTGTGAAATTCCCGTGGTATATTTGACTTGGTCAAATTCATATGTGATATATTTTGTCGTGATACTCGTTGAAGGTGATTAGACTCGTGATACATTATTGATTAGTGAATTTTACTGTGATGCTTCAGTGTTATTGAATATAAATTTCTTTAAATAGCATTTTGTGATTTCTCGTAAGATTTATTATTTATAAATAAGATTGTGCATGATATTGCAATGATCTTTTTGACATTTGCCGTGAACAGATCATTCTAATAAATCAATTTATTTTGTGAGTGATAAGAGTTGAACAAATATTGTCCTGTTCACTGGATGAATGTTTTCTTTTTCTTTTATAAGTGTGTTGATTTTATCGTGACTTATAAGTGTGATTTCAATTTCATTGAGAGTTGACAGAAACAATATACAACGAAGCGACAATACTTCTAAGTATTCATAGATCTTGCAGTGGAGAGGCAGCAGGATATGTTGCCTGCTTTTTTAATTTGTCTTTTGACGTCTTAATTGTCTGTGATATGCACCTTAATAACCTCAGATCCCCTTCCAAAATTCTATTTCCATTTTATTTAGTTCCGCCCAATGTTTTCTCGTTTAGGGCACACACATTCTTTTACTTTGGGACCATACGCCGCTTTTCATGGAATGGCAATACCGTGATAACCGCCGTATCAATTACACAATTGCGAATGTTTCTAAATTCAAAATTTCACAATTTTCGTGTTTAAATTTTAAATGCTGCTTCAGCCGGTGCTAGGAGGGGCGTGGCACCCTAGCACCGGCTTAAAACTACAATAGTGTGGAAACAAGTTGTCTCCAGAGAAATACTACTTTATGAAGGAAAGTGTAATTTTTAAGACATGTGGTTGGTGACAATGAAATGTAGATAAGGTTAAATTTAGCCAAGTTCACTTTTTATAATAAATACGGTAGTTATTTCCCTTAAAGGCCAAACCAAATCTATTGTGGTGTTATGTGTTCATGTTTGTCTTGGTTCCTTTTGTTATGAGTGATTGAACTGGTTTTGCAAGTTTAGTGATGGATGATTGGTTTTGGTATGCAGGTTATTTTTAGATGATTTGGTTCTGGGATATAATATTTTCTTGGTAACTGACCACTCCTTGTCTCGCTTTCGAAGTGTAAAGAGCTATAAAAGTATTTAACATTCAGTAATTTCTTTATAGAAATACTTGATTCTGATTTCTATTATTTCATTAGATCTCATCTATATAAAGCCTGGTATGTATATTTGTATATATTTATTTGTGAAATTGTTTTTATTGTAATTTGAATTGTTGTGTAATATTCTGTATTATGTATTTTGTGAAATGTATTTGTCTTGTATTATATTTGGTTGTAATGTGATGTCTTATACTTATATTATTGGTTACAGGTTTTATTCTTTATTGAATAAACATATATAAACCTATCAAGGTGTTTATTGTTGGAAACCCCCCACTACAGAAATTATGACAGATCCAGAGAAAATAGAAAAAATAACAACTACACCGGTCCAAAGAATTCAGATGAACTTAAATCTGTTTGACTTTTGCAGGTAATTTTATGAAAATTGTTCAAAACCATTCAACAATCATCAAACCGTTGTCAGCATTACTTCCGCAAAGATCTAGTAAAAAGAACAAAGAGAAAGATTTACGGGAATGAAATAGGAATGTAAACATGGAAGGACATTAAATCTCTTTAAAAAAATTGACTTCGCCACCGATCTTTTTCTGTTATTTATAGTTCACTCAACAAGTCCAGCTCCATACAGAAGCCAGTGGCGATACTTAACCAAATGCAAGGCAACCAGAAAATGGTTAAAGAGAATAGTTAAAATTAGAGAAGAACTATTCTGCATATTAATTTGAATTTCTATCTTTGAAATGGACCGTCACTGAAAGAATTTTAGATTACTTGAAAGGAAACAAATTCGTTGTATACACTTTACCATATGTGACTGGTTGTTTAAACTACAATTCATCAAAATCATGAACGATAGCACAGTAATCTTAATATTTTAAGCTCCGCTAAGCATAATACACATTTAACTACAAGTAGGTGAATGTCGTATTGTATTGTTGTTATGGTATTGTATTGTGTTATCGTTAACTACTTTGTATATTTAACAATATACCTCCTTATCACTTTTTGTCAGTATGCCATTGTAACGATAGCGCAGTAAGTTTCACTTTAAGCTACACTGTTTATACTGATTAAAGTTAAAGTGACATTATGCTCATATTTTCATAGTCAAGTTAAGCTGAATTGACTTTATATTTCAAAAGATTGACTGTCAAAATGGTGTTTGACCAACAGTTGATATTGGAATATGTTTAGGACAGAATGATAAATCTGCCTAACATATAAAAAGACTACCCCACTCTTTTTATAAACTAAGCGTTAATTATAGGTAAGTTCTAACGGATATTCACAGATGTTTCGTTTGGATCTGTGAGTTATTTATTGTTAATGTGAACTTAATTATAAAAGTAAAAGGAATTGTGACAAAATCAAAACTTATTTTGATGTTCTCCCGTTCAGTCACTTTATACCCTTGGATTGGCATAATGTCACTTTAACGTCGTATTGTATTGTATTGTAATTGTATTGTATTGTAATTGTATTGTTTTGTGATATCGTTTACTGTCATTGTATATATAACAATAATGTACATTTTTTCTCATCTAAACGGATGTGTCTGATTGTTTACACAATATATCATCAAAATCACCAACGACAGCACACTTAGCTACACTTTTTAGCTCCACTTTGGATCTGACTGATTAAACTATAATCAGTATGTCAATGTAGTTTTGTATTGTAATTGTGTTGTATTGCATTGTGTTAACGTTTAATGCTATTGTCTGTATCTCATGGTGTCAGTAAGCCACTGTAAACTGGTGTGTCTGATTGTTTAAGCTATAATTTATCAACATTAAAACTATAGCAACGTGAAGCTGAAAATAATGTTTTAAATACAAGTTGGGAAGTCTTACAAAAAATCACAACATTTACATATAAAAGTTTCTCGCACACAAGTTTCTTCTATCAACTAAATAAATAATTGATATCTTACGGTTTGAACTTGCATGTATCTTTACAATGTAATCAGTAACAAACAATATCAAAGTCCACAATATCAAAGTCCACATAAGCCATATCAACAGCAAAATTTTGACATTTGACACCTGTGAGACAATCTGCGGATTACGATTTGAAGGTACAATATCTTTATTTATTAATTTAAATATTTTATTGTCTACAAAAACGTCTCATAAAGGCAACTCATTTAAGTTATATTTTCTTTTTTATGCTTTAAAGAAAAAGGAAGTTATTAATACATATATTTTGATACACAAAGTCATGGTATTGAAAAACTTCTGGACTGGGTTATTTTGCATGCCTTTTAGTTATTATATTTATATTTGTAACAAGACTTGTCCGTGGACAGAGCGTTCCACTTTTCTCATTGCTATATAATATAGTTCATAGAAAAGAATGGAATATTATTCTGCAAACGTGATTAGCAGACTTACCTGCCCTTGATAGTCTACAAGAATTTCAAGTTAAAATGAAGTTTTGAAATAATTTTACAATTATCTGCCCTTTTGAAAAATGATGATGTCCTTTCATGACAATGAACAAGTACACCAAGATTTGAAGCTAAAAGCTACTATATTTACTGAGAAAATGGTTCTTAACAAAAAGGTTAACCGACTTCCACGTCAATGTGAATGCTGACCAGAGTGTCACGACAATAACTCCACTTTTTTCTTTGAAAAGAGGAGCTTAAAATTTGTCACGTTATAAAATTGTATATTTTGTTATTCTGTATATATGTTTTGCATGGGTGGTTACTTTGAAATTGTTTATTCTTCATATCCAAATATAAAAATAAGTCTGAAATACACTTTTAAGCATCATGTGTACAATTATATGTTAACAAGAGCCGGATTGAATCAATCATACACTCCCCAAATCAGTTTTGGTCACAGAGAAGAAGTTTCTTGTTGACATCTCTTGTAGTTTCAGAACTGTCCTGGACAAAGATCACAGTTTAAAACTTTTAAAAGGGGGCAATACCTCGAAAAAATAGGCACGACAGGGTCAAGGTTGGAGCCTATGTGTTGTAAAGTTATTGGTTGGAAACAGTTTTGGCATAAAAGGTCATTGTCACCTTGACCCTTTTAGATTTTAGACCTTTTAGATTTTTACAAAAAAAAATCAAAAGCTTTCATGAAGCACCAAGATCAATGCTTTTATGAAGTTTGTGTGCAAAGGGCTTATTCTTTGTCAAGTTATTAGACGGAAATCATTTTGGCAATACGTCTTAATGGATTCACAATAAAAAGTAGTTTTCTTTTCATTTTTGTCCTTTTTACCGATATGAAAACTTATTCAGTCCAGTGATACTTTTGAGATTTCTGATCCGAATGTGAAATGTCAAAACACTTTGGGAATGTCTGCTATAAACGTATTTGCAGACAACTTTTACTTTGACATTCACCTCAGAATACATGTATATGGCAGGTTGATCATATTGATATAATTTAAGTACATAAATATGAGACATACTCTATGACAAAGCATTAGATAATAATCAATAGAACATCTTACATGATTGTAAAATATGTTTTTAATAACAAACATGTAATATGTCAGTTAATTGAACCAATATCTTTACAATCTCATAACATTTTACAAAAACGGTATTAAATGAAATTCAAAATATGATGCCTATATTATAAACCCTCTTTTCCTCTGTTTTCCCAGTCTTTTGACGGACAGCATGATAGATGCATGGGTGCAAATTAGAAATATCGTAAAATCTGAAAACCCTGAATTTAGCATTATTTTAATTGGTTATATAAAGCAAAAAGAGTGCTTTCATGTGTTTAAAAACCTAAGTAACGTTTTAGGAAAATGGCTGACAACTTGTACCCATGTATATTACAAAGCAAAATCTATATCCCAACAAGAAGGGCATTAAAGCTTTTAACAACTACATATCATTAAATCAACTGTCATCACGATTAAAGCAAGTCGAAAATATGAAATGAATAATGTACTATTGCTTGAATATTTTTCCAACATAACTTTTTACCTCAAGAAAATGTCATATTAGAAATAAATTAGACTTTGCCATTTTTTTTTCAGATCATCTATAGATCTTTAGTTTTGTGTATTTACTAAAGGACATTTTTTGAAAACATGCATTTCATAGAAATGTGTTATAATACATTTTAGGTGAAACATGGAAGTCCCAGGAAAGAAAGCATCAAAACAATTTTCAACGTCAACAACAACAATGGCATCGGATGAAGATCTTCAAATTTACTGTCAGCCTTGTGACGAGGAAGGAACTAGACTCCCTGCCCATGGTTACTGCAGTGACTGCAAGGAGCATCTTTGCAAGACATGCATTAAAGTCCATAAGATAAACACGTTTACCAAAAAGCATACACTTATGGATGCAACAAATTTGCCGAAAGTCGCAGGCCTGTCTGATGTCTTGACCACACCATGTCTTAAACATTCAAGAAAAATGATCAAGTTCTACTGCAATGATCATAAAAAAATTCTCTGCAGTGTTTGTGTTGCACTTGAACATCAAGCTACAACCTGCAAAGTCAACTATATACCAGACATTTCTGGTGATATAATAGACAGCAAAGAATATCAAGTTATCTTGAATTCAGTTAATACCACTTATGACAAGTTTCAAAAGATATATAAAGAAGTCAAGAACATAACATACAAATCAAGCAGCTCTCTTAAAGGTGCATTAGTTGACATTAAAAAGTTTCGGGAAGAAATCAACCAGAGACTAGATGAACTTGAGAGACAGGCTGAAGATGCAGTTACAGTTATAGAACAAGAAAACAATAAACATCTGAAAGCAGTAGAAACAACATGTGAAGAAGTTACCAAATCTTTGAAGATATCATCAGACAAAATCAAACAACTCAACACAACAAAAGAAGCTGAAAAACTCTTCATTGATTTAAAACTTGCAGAGAAAACAATCAAAGATATGCAGGGAAAACTATTAAACCTGCCTTCATTTGATTTCAAGGAGCACAACTTTCTATCAAATGATGTAATATTAAATTTCTTTAAAGCAGAGAAGTCTATGGGTACATTGACACACACAACTTTTAATACAGAATGTCAACCTGTAAAATTACAGTATAGAAAATCGTCACATGAGGGAGATATCTGTGTGAACACATTAAAAGATAAAACCATATGCTGGATAACAGGAATGACTCTGCTGATATCTGAGCTTCTTATAATCACAGACTACAATAACAATGTTGTGAAGATGGTGGATACCAGCAGTCAGTCTGTGTCTGATCAACTACAACTTGATTCTGGACCATGGGATATCACCACAGTATCCGGTACTGAACTTGCCGTCACACTTCCTAACAAACAGACCATACAGTTTATATCAATCTCATCAAACAAACTCATAAAGGAGCAAACTTTGAATGTTTTTGGACAATGTCATGGTATAAGCTGTTACCAAGGTAAACTTGTTGTGTCATTCCTTAATCCTACAAAACTTCAGATCCTTGATATGAATGGCACTATACTGAACATTGGTGGACAAAATATTTTCAATAGGCCAGAAAACATTCATTTTGGTGGAAAAAATATTTTCAAATGGCCAGAATATATCCAATGTAACAGAAATTCTATCTATGTATCTGACAAGGGCATAAAAACAGTAACAATATTAAACTGGCAAGGCGATGTGATTGGTAGTTATAGTGGTACAAGTTGCCCTGTGGGAATGTCACTGTCAGATGATGGTACTGTCTTTGTATGTGACAGGGTGAGAAATGTTATAGAAGAGATATCAAGCTATTATTCTACAGGAAAGGTAGTGCTGCAATATCTGAAGAGACCAGTGGCTGTATGTTGGTGTGGTGAAGCAAAGAAGCTATATTTCAGCTGTAATACTTGGGATGAAAATATTGACAACTTCCTTCACATCCATAACCTGTCATAGACATGATAGACTTGAACAGTTCTTAAATAGCAAACAAAAAACAACAACAAAAAACAACAACAAAAAACAACAACAAAAACACTGGCATTAGCATTATCCATTCTTCTGTAAAATTAGCAATTGAAGACACATGTTTTACGTTTTGTCTTAGTGATTTAAATCTCATGTTGATAGGAATGATTTAAGAAATCCCTTTGTTGTATTCTTACAAATGGTTTAATGATTTGGTGAGTAACAAGAAAACTACTAACAGTCATACTGGGAATACATGAAATAACAAGAGCACTTCAAAAATTTTAACGCGTGGTCAAAGCCACAGCTATCAATAACCAAGGGACATAAATGAAAACTACAATTCAGCAATCATAATAGCTCGAATTTTCATTACAATAGATAACTTTGTTTACATTGATAAATTGACTGTCCTAGGTTATATCGATAAAAGCATTTCATCTTCAATCTTACAAGTACCTTATGATATGATAAAACTGATGAGTTTTCTTTTGTAATCATCAAATGAACTTTTTATATTTTATGTAACAATGCCTGTCCTAATACCATTCATTATTTGTAACACTTATATTTAAACAGAGTACATCATTAAAATTCAGTAACAAATGTTTGTTGTTATAAAATCAATGAGTTAAAACATACGAATACCATACTGGTTAAAGGTGTAAGTGGCTGTGAAGGTACAGTGAAGACAAAATGTCATTGTAAGATAAACAAGGACCATCAGTGATGAAATGTCGCCTCATGATAGCCAATCGAATGTTGCAGCTACTGTGTAGCAAGAGACCCAAAAATCATTAACAGGCCAAAACGCATTTTTCAATAAAATGAAAGAACTCAGCTGAAAATCATTCAAGCGTAAAAACCTGTGTATTATGCACAAGTACTTGACCTACCAATCAATCCTGTAATGTTTCACTGAAATTGTATAAATGGTATAAGAGGAGTAGTCTGGACAAATCTTATTTACACCCTTTTTATTCAAGGGCCATATCTGAGCCAAAAATCGTTCAAGCAAACAGCATGTGTAATATGAACATGTACTTGACCTACTAATTAATCCTGTAAAGTTTCATTGAAATTGCGTCAGTGGTATAGGAGGAGTAGTCTGATGAAACTTTAAAAAGATAAAATAATTAAAGGGCCATTACTAAGACAAAAGTCATTGAACCAAATAAAAAACGATGACATGCACAACTGGACTTGGTACTGATCATTCCTGTAAAGTTTGGATGAAATTGCACAAGTAGTTTTCGAGCAGTAGTCCGGACAAGCTTTTGTGTATCTGGCAATACACAATAAAAACATCTTTATAAAAGGGTCTTAACGCGCCAAAAATCATTCAACTAGAAAACCAGTGCAATATGTTTAAGGACTTGGGCTAAAGATCAATCCTGTAAAGTTTCATTGAAATTGCCTTAGTGGTATAAGGAGTAGTTCGGACAAACTCTAAAAATGAAAATTATTAAAGGGCCATGACTGACACAAAAAACATAAGATAATGCTGACGATATGCACAACAAAACTTTACTTGGTACTGGTCATTCATGTAAAGGTTGAATGAACTGCATCAGTTGTTTATGAGGAGTAGTCCAGACAACGTTTGTGACGGACGGACAACAGACAAGGGAGAAATGATCCCTATATATCGCCACTTCTCCGTAGAGGTGACACAAAAATCTGTCTATGTGTGTGATGTGTAGAACAGATATAAGGATGTTACCGTATCTCTCCTCAGGAAAGGTTGTGTTGCAGCAACGTCAAGTTTTCCCTGGGCTTATGTTTATTTTGCGAAATGAAGAAGCTGTACTCCACAGTTGTTGAGATACTACTAGTCAGGTGAATAGTATGTAAAATTTGTTCATATCTATAAATTGACAAGACTGAACTCTCAATGGTAGGATACTACGTCATCGCGCACCTGCTAAATGCTCCCACTTGGACCATTTTTTCGTCGACTCAAAGGTAAAATACAATTTTATTATAAGAAAACGTAAGAGTATTTAAAAAATCATGTAGCGCACCAAAGAATGGCTGTAGTACTTGAGATAATTGTAAAAAAAGTTTATAGATTTATTGCCTGGTTTAGGCCTGAAAACGGGATAAGTGTTTTTCTCTGAATGCTCCCACTCGGACTTCTCCCGAAACATATATGAAATAAGGTTGAAAACCTTCTTTAAAATTATTTTTAACGTATCGGAACATAAACCGAGTCATGTATACCTATTATTCTTTTTTAGTTTCAAATATTTCTATTCAAAGTCAGTCTTTTAAAGGTTTTTTTATGAAAAAGGAAAATTCTCCCACTCGGACCCAAATTAATACATTTTGAAAGCACACTGCTGTGTTAGCTTTTATGGATTATTCTCACAATTTTAACACCATTTTGTCAATAACTATTGTGTGTGGCAACATTAATTTTCATTCTTTTTACAGAGATTACTTCTTTGATTCTGTAGAATGACGTCGTTGGGCAAGAACAAGGTGCCATGGCAAAGTTTCAACTGACAGAATCACTATACAAAAAGGTGCACTCGGCTTGTGTTGCATCCGAAGGGATAATTCAAAATTATTGCTTACAACAAGCTAGGACTATAAGACTTTAAATCGGCAGTTTGAATCTCGAGAATAAAGTCTTGTTTAGATGTTAAAAAATTGTGGTGTTTTACAAAGAAGTCATTATACATTGTTTAGTACCATACCGGATTAAGATTCAGTTGGACTCGGGCACATATTAGAGGCCAGCATTTATTCAATAATTGCTGACTTTAATATCTTGTTAATAATTTAAAACCCAATGGTTTGCGTGTTTATTAAACTTGTGATTTAGATTTTAAAACAGCATAATGATAAGTTTATGAACATAAAGAAGTCAATATCTATCGGTTGATTTGAGTAGTTTATTAAAGAACAACATGTAAATCATTTTTTGTCATGAACTGGTTAAAAAGTCAATGTACTGTCATACTACGGCGTCATAATTATTAACAACTTTGACAATTTTAAGTATGAAAGTAACCATGTGTACGTATTTTTACCTAAATAAAAAATATTAAAAGATAAGAAAACAAAGATCATACTTATTTCTTTTTCACAGTCTTTACCATATTTTGGTAATTAAATATCATGTAAGTTATATTTCAGGCTGTTACCAATTGAAATTGTCTATAAATTAAATGGATTGATATTTATGGTACTAAAACAATTTTCAAACATAAAGGAATATGTAAAATACATACTGCAAATGCTTGTCCACATTATATGTAATCATTAAAATATACATGTATGCATAATGCATTCATGTCTTTTTGAAAGATTCAACTTACACTTAATAGAAAATATATTTCTAATAACCTCCCTTTATGAAATGTAAATTCGGTATTATCTTTACAAATAATGCTTTTCGGAACATACAATATTGATACATTTTCATTTGAGCATTATATTTATGAATAAAATCATAGAAAAAGGATTTAAGGATATTTGACTGACGTTAAAATAATAACAATAATACAAGAAGGAATCACAGACAGCAAAATCCCCCGCCATAAGGAGGAAGTACATTTCAAAGGGGAAGTAACCCTTACATACGTTAAAAAATTCCAAGTAATGATACTCGTGAAAATTAATGAAAAGTTATAGCCTAGACATAATAAATCATGACAAAAATAGCACTCCCATGAAAAAAACCAAAGGAAAACAACAAAGAAGCATTTAGTGAACACGTCTGGTCCTTATGCTCTGCTATTCACTTCTATTAAACATGTTCAATATAAAGTTTTAAGTTTATATCTCTAATACCTTTAGGGGTATGTTCCTTGCAAACTAATGATAGTGAATACAAAGAGCAATAACTCCAAAACTGGAGAGTTGCCATTCTTGTTTGCGGTATTTTACTTTATTGAAATCTATTCTCCAGTGAAATTTCAGATGAATTGATCCTTTATGACACATTGTCCAAAATTTACGCAAAAAAACTGAACAAAAGACAATTACTTCAAAGAACTATTGTTCTTGTGTTTTCTAAAGTATTCTTCCTCAATGAGATATATCCACAGTTGGTATCTAAAATATTTGCTCCAGCTTTGCCGTGCCAAGATGTACGTCCTGCCATGTGCTTCCTTACGTCGCAATGTGGTTTATACCTTTTCCCATACTGGTCACAAATACAAATACTTTCTGCAAAACAAAACGTAATTACATTTTTAAAATGTATAAACAATTTGTTTCTTATTTAAGCGAGGAATTGTTTCAACACAACTTTTTTCCCTTATACGAATCCTCTAAGAAGACATATTTACGAGACTGTTTAGTAATCGAATTTAAAAATACTGTTTCATTGAATTATTACTGATTATATGAATATATGAACGTGAATATAAAGATATTTTGAAAGAAATATTAATATCTTAAGACAGCAATGTGCTTTCAAACTTTGTACATATTTAGGTCCGAGTGGGAGCATCTCTGAAGTTTAGTCCGAGAGGGAGCATTTTCCATTTTTATAAAAAGAATAAAGAAAAACTGACTTTTGAATAGAAACATTTGAAACTAATATTGAATAATGGAAAGTTGTACAGCATCTTATTTGCAGCGGAATACTACAAATGGTTTTTGAACGGCAGGCTGGTAAAAATGATGTTTTTTTACCGAAATTTATATAGAGAAAGAACAAATTGCGGTGCAAAAAAGTGACCATGCCACGACATATTACTTGGGTTAGGGCTTTAGGCCTTTTTATGTACAAAGAAACTCTATAAAAATGAACAAAATCGAATTTGCATTGGAATTGGTCAAATGGTTTTTGAACGGTTTGCTCGTAAAAATGATGTTTTTTTTTTAAATATATATAGAGAGAAGGAACAAATCGCGGTGCAAAACTGACCAAGCCATGCGGAAATCTCCTAACAGGTTAATTGGGTTACAACTTTAGGCCTTTTTCTACACAAAGAAGAACTTATAAATATGTACAAAATCGAATTTGCATTGAAATTGGTGAAATGGTTTTTGAACGGTAGGCTCGTAAAAATGATGATTTTTCCGAAAATTATATAGGGAAAGAATAAATCGCGGTCCAAAAAAATGACCATGCCACGCGGAAATCTCTTTATTTTCGTTGAGTTAAATCTCTGTGCCTTTAAGCCTTATATAGCAGTGAAGGAGATCCTTATAACTTAAACAATTTTCTAGATGTTGTTTTTTTTTAAATTTTTAAGTACGTAGCATTCATTTTGTAATGGCTAACTGTACATAAGATCAATTCCTGCAAAATCGAGCTCTCTCAAGCGCGTTTTTGTCACACACACCAGAACTTATTTACATGTTTATGAAGTTGGAAGACCACTGTTTGAATGGTTGGCTCTAAATAAGGATTTTTTCCTGGAAAAAAAAAATTATACACATTACAGAAAGAGCAAATCGCCGAAAATGACCTGGTCATGCGGAAATCTCCAGGAAATGTTCATTGGGTTAGGCATTTAAAACTTAAAACATGTAAAGAAAACCGCCATGGTTGTATAAAATCAAATTTGCAACGGACTTGATCGAATGGTTTTTGAACGGTAGACTCGATAAAATGATGGTTTTCCCGAAATTTACAA